AGCAAATTGGGTCAAACTTACAAGAATAAGAGCCACTCCCCAGTTGGTAAATGATAAAAGGATATGAATACGTTGCTTTCAGAAGAAGGGATCAAAGCTATCAATAGCCATATAAAAATTGCTCTAAGTCACTTATAACTGGAGAAATGCAAATTAAAACAACTCTGAGGTACTTCACAACCATCAAATTGGCCAACCTGACAGAAAAGGAGAATGACAAATGCTAGAAGGAATGTGGAAAAATAGGGACACTAATGCATTGTTGGTGGAGTTGTGAAATGATCTAACCATTCTGGAGAACAATTTGGAACTATGCCCAAAGGGCTATAAAATTGTGTATACCCTTTGACCCAGCTACAGCACTACTCCAAAGAGATCAAAAAAAGAATAGCACTCACATGTACAAAAGTATTTAAAGCAACTTTTTGTAGTGGCAAAGAATTGGAAACTGAAGGTATGCCTATGAATTGGGAAATATAATAATGATGGTGATAATAATAATGATGATGGTGATAGCTAATATTTATATAGAGCTTATTACGTACCAGACACTATGCTAAGTGCATTACAATTATTATCTCGTTTCATCCTCACAACTCTGGGAAGTAGGTGCTGCTATTATTTCCATTTTACAGATGAGGAAATTAAGGCAGAGGTTAAGTGACTTGTCCAGGGTCACACAGGTAGGAAGTATCTGACACCAGATTTGAACTCGGGTCTTCCTGACTCCAGATTCAATGCTCTATCCTGACGGAAAGCTACTGTGCTATATGAATGAAATGATGAAGGGAATGGTTTCAGAAACATCTGGGAAGACTTATATGAACTGATGCAAAGCCAAGTGAACAGAACCAGGAGCAATGTTATTAAAAAAGACTTGGGAACTCTGATTGACATAATGACCAATCACATGATGTTTCATGATGAAACATGCCATCCAAAAAAGAGAACTGATGGACTCGGAGAGTGGAAACAAATTTTTTTCTCTGTTTTTCCTTTTCTTGTTTTTCTGGGGGGGGAGGGGAGAAGGGGGGGACACGCCTAATTCAGAAATTCGTTTTGAATGACTGCACCTATTCATGATGGGTTTTGTATTTCTTGCCTTCTCAATGGGTGAGGGAGGAGGGGAGAGAATTTGGAATTGAAAAAAAAGGGGAATAAAAAAGTGCGCTTTAATAAAAAGATGGGGGAGATACCTAACTTAAAAAAAGGCAAACAACAAGAAAAAGTGGGGCATCAGCTAAAGGTTAAAAGAAAAAGGTAAGAAAGAGGTCATGAGGAAGCTAAGACTTGGAGAGGAGAAAGCCTCTCTGATTACGGCTTGAACCAAACGAAACAACATTTTGCTTCAGATCAGAGACCGTTCTGATCTCCCGGTTTAATAATTTTAGAAACATCTCTCACTTTGGCTCTGGCTCAAGCCACTGCACTGGTGTTTGGGGTCTGGGCTGGGGTGGAGAGGGAGGAGAAGCATGGGGCCATTTCACAGTTCAGTAAATAATGGGACGCTCAGGTTCGGTTTGTCCATTCAGCAAATACACGCAGTCGTTTTGTTTTGTCTTGTCTTGTGGCTTGTGGTCAGCTCCACGCAAGCCGCCGGTCTCCAGCTTGGAGCTCACAGGGGTTGGAATTGCACAGATATAGGAGAAGGGCTGGGGAAGGCAGGAGGATTTGCTGGCAGTAGGTTATTGGCTCCCAGACCGACACGATTCAGGAATCTGCAGAGGCTGGGAGTCTTTGGAAAATCACAGGACTGTAGATTTAGAACTAGGAGACACATTGAAGGTCATCTCTAGCCCCCATTTTGCAAATGAGGAAACTGAGGCAAGGAAGTGACTTGCCCAACATCACACGGGTGGTAACTCATAGTCAGGATTCGAACCCAGGTCCCGACTCTGAATCCCCCACCCTTTTCCACTATGCCACAGAAAATATGAATCCCATTTTACAGATGAGGAGACTGAGTTTTGGGAGGCTTTTGGGTCATCTAGTCCAATCTCCTCGTTTTACAGAAGAGGAAACTGAGGCGTTAACTTAGTTTGTGCAAGAGACATTGGTAGGGAGAGGGAAAGGTGGGATTTGAAGCTGACACTCCTCAGACACTTTGCTCTTTGCTCATCTATGAAATGGAGCAAGTCATCCTCCCCATCTCTCCCCTAAGGCCGTTGTAAAAGCAAAACAAAACCCTTTCGGCAATCTTTAAAATCTCTACTATTTGAAATATTTGCAGGAGAGCAGAGCCCAGGGGTGATGATTCTATCACGTGAAGGCAAAGTGACCTGCCGATCACATTTAAAAGGCTAAAAAAAGTTTCAAACATCCACTGCAGCGTTCTGCCACCTCGGTCCCAGGAGAGGACCTCTGACAAACTGGGAAAAAAAATTGGGGGAACTTCGTGTTTTGTAAGTAGAGGCTAAATTCCCAGCAGCTCCCAGGGCTAAGTGCTGACCCGAGCAATTACTGTCTGGCTTGTTGGCACGGCTAACGCCAAGCTCCAGTGATACCCAACTGCCTCATCAGAGAGGCAGGATGGGGAGGAAAATGCCCGTCCAAATTAGACTCGCTTCTAAACAGCCACTAAGAGGTCCTAACCTCAAGGGCTGCTGAAGACTCCAGGCTGGGGGCTCTTCCAGAAGGTGCCTCTGGTCCAAGGAAGGTTTTTGTGACGTGCCCCACTTCCCCATCCCAATCGCAGGGTTCTGAGTGATGTGGGACTCCATTGCAACGTACATTTTGGGCACGGGTTGATAGGGGGTCCAGAGAGGCGGACCCAGCTGGTGATAAGAAGGGACTTCATCCATGCAACACCGTGGATGGAAGGCAGCCCAGATCAAAGAAGGCTAGAATGTCACAGTGGGACACCAGGGGTTCTTAACCTTTCCTGTGTCAAGGTCTCTGCCGGCAGTCAGCCTGATGAAGTCGACAGACCCCTTCTCGGAAGAATGCTTTTAAACGTATAAAATAAGATACAGAGGAATATAAAGGAAACCAATTACATTGAAATACTGTTATCAAAATACTTAAAAAATCAAGTTCACAAGACCCCGGGGTAAGAACCTCAGATTTAGGTCAATTTTCATTTCAGAGAGAGAGGAAGTGTGGCCCAAAATTGACTCTGATAAAGTCACTCTAAGCCACAGCGCGGACAAAAGCTCCAATCTCCTAACCACCCCCCCCAAGGTAGCAGTGGAGAGCATAGGATTTCCATCAGTTCAGGACCAAGAAAATGGGGGCACCATTACCTCTCCTTTCCCCACCCCCAAATAGGATATGAAGCCAGCTATTTATTTCCTTCATCTACCAGGAGGGCCCATTGAGAAAAGGAACACGATCCGGGCCTAGGATTATGGACCTAGAACCTAAAGGGGCTTCAGGAGCCACTTGGTTTCCTATCTTCCCATTACCAATATGGAAACTGAGCAAAGTCACATGGGAAGTAATAGGAGCCAGTGGAATTTGAGTTTATGGCCTCTGGATTACAAGGACCAGAACCCAAAACCAGGCATAAGAAATACAGGGAAAACTCAGGGACAGCCTGGTTCTGCTCATGGAGGCAAGAACATTTGTTAACCTGGATGCATCCTGGGAATAGAGCGGGGCCTAGGAGGGCACAGTCCAAATGGAAAGCATTTGCAAAATGTACGCAAACACCACTGGGTCAGAAGAGCCGAAGGTAGAGCGTGGCTCCCTGGCTCGGCAGGTCGGCTCCCTAGCATCTCCCAAAGGGACTTTGGTCAACACCCTCTTCCAGAAGGCATCAGTCGCCCCCTGGCGACCAAGGGCAGGAACACACAGATGTCTGCGCGGTAGGGATGGATCCAGTTACTCAGCCCCATACCCAGCCCCAGCCTTGCCTGCTGATGACACAGAGGGCCAGAGCTGCCCCTTCTGCGTTGGTAACAAGCCCTCCGTGTAAAGGCTGTTCTGCTCGACTTCTCCAGTCTTCAGAAACAGATGACCCGCTTCTACTCACCAATTTACTCATCCCTTGCCCCTTGCTAACTGGTCGGGTGCTCAGACAGGTCTCGAATCGTGTCAGTTTAGGAAAAGATAAATATTCCTGTCTCATGGTCTCCGTTTTTGGTTTCCTTGATGACCCAAGGTTCAGGCACTGTGTACTGTGTGTCATTTAGGAGTCGGGGGAGGTTTGAGGAGGTCTCATCCCCTCACCTCTGGGGAGGAGGGAGTTGTGTGCAAGGCAGTTATAAGGAGCAGGGGGATAGACGAGTCAGGTGATGGACATGGGGCGCTTGTCCAGTGACCAAATGATGGCAGCACCTCACCTATACAAAAACCACGCAGGGAGATTCCCATCCATTCACAATCAAGACAGTGTGGGTCCCCATCGCTTCTCCCCCCCAAAACACGTGCCCCACCAGGACATGATATAAAGTCATTTTTCCTTTCATGTACTGATAGGGTCCATTGAGAAAGGGAACCACTGTAGTTGTGGACAAAGGTCAGGGAAAATGGCTCCCTGGGGGATGCAGGGGACACACAGTCCCTGATGGGTCACAAATAAGGTCAGTGCCCTCATACATTAAGTCCTTTTTCTTTTCTTTAAATCTAAAGTGACCAGTTTGTCTAAAGTGAATTTTAATCTAAAGTGAACAGAGAGATAGAAATTCCACGTTGGTGGTGAGCTGGACCACAGAGCTGGGGCTTGGGCCTCTCCCTACTCCATTAAGGGACTGCTGTGTACTGTGGGGGTCCAAAGAGAGTTCAGAGCCCTAGAAGTGAGATCTCTCTGGAAGGGCTTCCCCCCAAAAATACAACAAATCCTGTAAAGTAACACAAAATTGCCATATTAAAAAACATATATTTACTACCAAAGATTTTTTACTTTTCTTTCCATTCCTATAAAGGCTTTGTTCATCATTTCTGTTGTTGATGTGAGAACGGGTGAGGCTCCCTGGGGGTGGGGATGTCACAATGTCCTTAGGTTTTAAGTTCCCTACCCTGGTTTCGAGTTCAATGCACTCAGGCTACAGTGGCCTTCATTTACTCAGCATACATTTCTGTATTTAAAAACATCTTTACAAGGTCAAGTTCCTTTCCTCCATCCCCAAAACTTTCAAATCTTCCCTCCACCTCTCCACTCCATGTGGAGGTCATGGGGACAAGTTGGCCTCCACCTCCCCCCTCCCTGCACCTTTCAGGAGTTAAGGATGGGAAGAACTCCCAAGCGCCCCATGGCTGGATCAGAGGATCCTGGTCTTTCCTTTGGATTCTGCAGAAGCTGCTGGGCAGAAAAGCTCCCTGGGACTCCAGGCAGCGAGATCATCTCATGGACACAGAATTATCACAGGAAATTCTCATATTTCATACCAGCTGGACGTGGGGGCAAGAACGCTCTATACGAGGACCAGTATGGTACATTAAACATACCACAAAGGACATGACGTCTTCCCCGGTTCATTCATTCGGACATTCGGAGAGGCCTGCTCGGTGCTAGGGTGTCCAAAGGAATTTTAAAATGGGAGGAGTGGCCTGCATGGACAATTCCAGTTTCGCTGCTGAAGACAAGATGCTTATCCGTGACAATTTAACAGATGACCCCAAACAGCACTGGCTAAGTGATGACTGAGGAGTCCGGGTGGTACCACCCTGAGATTTCCAGAGGGAGTCCGCCAGGGCTTGAGCGGTCAGCGAAGGATTCATCGCAGGGCCGGTGCTGAGGGGCGGGATCTGGAGAAGCAGAAAGGGCAAAGGAGGCACCTCGCCCTCACCTCGTCTCTACAAGCAGAGAACCGCCACAGCCAGAGCTGAGGGTATCCCTCCAGCCCAAGCGGGTTCAGGCACTGAGTCGGAGGAAAGAGGGAACAAGGCCCGAAACCAATGGGTTTACGGTAGCTCTTAGGGACCCGGCGGTAAGGGAAGTTTGGAAATGGGAGAGCCTTCGCCTCTGGGGCAGCTGTGGGCATCAGGAAGTGGAGGGGGAGCATCCGGTGACCGTGGGAGCGGCGTGCACCTACACAGAATGGGATGCCGTTCTCATGTGCCAGCCCGCAGCTCTGGCTGCATGCAGCCATGACCGGCACTGGGGCAGGCCGGCTAGCTGTCTGTCGGGAGCTTGTGGCTGCCAGGGGCCCAGGAAGCTGCTGTCTGGGACAGTGACCGCAGAGCATTACCCTAGGAGCTGTTCAAAGCCTGTAGCACGTCGGCCTTTAAGGAAGACTCAGAATGGAGTGAGACTCCAGGAGCCCCAATGATGGTCTCCCAGCACTCGAACCCACAGTCGGTGAGGGCCTGTTTGGCTGCTTCTACCACAGACTGCTCCAGACCTGGAGGAGGAGGAAAGGCAGCCGTTACCTGCCCAGGACCTCGGTGTGATCAGACCCAATTCTCTGGGCACCAGGGAGTGTCACGGGAACAAGCCCGGGCTGTGCCTTCCCAGACCTCCCCTCTGCTCAGCAAGGCCGTCCTGCTCAGGACGCTCCGGGCCCTTTCACCCTCCTCCACGGCCTGTCTGGAGCCACATGCCCTCCATCAGTCTCCTCAGCACCGAGCACTGGGGACACGCCCTCAAGGTGCAAATCATCTGAGCCTCAGTTTCTTCATCTACAGAATGGGGTGACAGCAGTACCTGCTTCACAGGGTTGTTGGCAGGAAATGTTTATTATCAGGGAATGCCTAAATCAGGGCTCAGAAACCCTGAAGGTCAGCAATGAGGGCTCAGCAATGCCCCTTGGGGAAGGCACTGAGGGTGAAAGGAAGAGGACCATCAACTCAGGGCTGGACGGGGCCTGGGAAGCCATTCAGATCGGCTGCCATCTGGGCGGGAGGATGCCAAGGTCTTGGGTGTGAATCCCAGCTTAAGTCCTCACTACTCTGTGTCCTTGGGAAAACCACGCCCACCCCAGCCCCGCCCTCTGTGGGCCTGACTCCTTATTGGCAGAGGGGCTGCCAGCACCAGACTATGACCCTAACAAAGGGAGAGGGAGGAAAAAGAGAAAGGGGGAGGAAAAAGGAAGAGGCGGAGAGTAACAGAGGCGGAGAGGCAAGCTCCAAGCACACGAAGGGCCCGACGGGGAGACAGAAAAACAAGAGGGGCCTGGGGTGGGCAGAGGGCCAGGCCCGCCATCTCTCTGCGGGGCAGACACCAGGGCAGGCGTCCTGTCTGCAGCACAGCCCCTTGCCCAGCCTCGGAGGCCACCTCACAGTGGAAGAGCCGGGGAAACACTCCTGCTCTCCTTTCTAGAGGGACCACAGGGGCCTCACCCTTAGCACCCCTCCCCCCAGGAGCTGCCAGCAGGCCCCAAAGCTGGACTGTGGGAGCAGCCGGCTTACCTGGTCTGAGCAGAGTGAAGCCGCAGCCCCCGCCGCCGGCCCCCGTCAGCTTACTGTGCAGCCCGTGGGATGCTGTGACCTGGCACAGCCTGTCCAGGGAGGCGTGGCCCACTCCAATGGCATTGAGGTGATGCTGGTTCATGTCAATGAGCTCCTAGGAAACAGAGAGAGGTCAGGACACACTACACGTGCCTCCTGGGCAGGCTGCCGGAGCCCCTCGTGAGCACAGGCTCGGACCAGAGGCCAGCCTCCTTCTTTTACAGCACAGGAAACAGAAACCAAGAAAAGTTCCACGATTGTCCAGGTTACTGTGCACAAATGTGCATACGCGTGCCCAGAGAACCTCCTTGAATTCAGGACTTTTTCCAATTTTGCCCTGTCTGTCAACTGGCATAGTGCCAGGCATACACTCAACACTCAATACATGCACTTAATGACCCAGTGACCGGTCAGTACCAAGCCCGAGAGGAACCAAGGTCCCCCGCTGCACACCTCTCTCTGGGCCCCTGAGGGCCCCTGGCCCCAGGCCTGCTAACAAAGCACAAGGACTCTACCATCCAGGCTGCCATGGCTGTCTTAATCCCATAGATCAGGCCTGCTTTTCTGGGAAAAGCATTGGACTACCCTGGCAGAAGGTGTGTGGCATGCCTGTGTGCGTGTGTGTGTGTGCGTGCGCGCCTGTGTATGCGTAATCTGGGGTAAACCTGTTTCACAGAAAAAAGAGGCAGAGTGAGAGAGAAGACAGAGCAGACAGAGGGACAAAGAGGAGAGACAGCCAAAGAAAGAGGAGAAAGAGGAGAGGAGGAGAGGAGGGAAAGAGAGCGGCAGGTGAAGCAGATGGTTCCCAAGAGCCTCCCCTTCCCCAGCCCGGCCTCCACGAGGCCCACTCTGTGGGCACACACGTGAACGTGCACTATCTCCCGCCCTGGGCTGCAGCACGGAGGGGCGGCGGGCGGCGGGCAGCCGGCACCAGGCTCACCAAGTTCAATGGAGCGTGTGACACCTGGAGACAGGCTGACAGGGCCCCGGTCTGCCAGGCAAGGCGGAGACCCCAGAGCTCCGCAGCGTGGCCTGGGCCATGGATGAGGATCCGAGGAGGGCTCCTTGAGGGAGGAGCTCACAAGGGACACAGGCCGGTCACGGGAGGGCCAGAGGGAAGCTGAGCATCACGTGCCACAGCATCGTCCACTGCCAGAGGTTCTGGCTGAGAAGCCAGATGCTCTAATGGGCAAGAGAGGGGCTGGCAGGGAGGGCAGGAGGGAACAGCCTTGGAGAACAGAGAAGGATGGGGAGGCCAAAGCTCCCTGGGGGCGTGTGGCGGGACTTGCTGGAAAGCAGCACGTAACAGGAATGAATGAGTCCCCAGATCTTGGGGGGTCTGTTTCTCCCTCTGTAAAGGAGGCCCCCCTCCCCGAGATGGATCCGCCAGTGACAGGAGACCAGCCTTACAAGGTGTGATTACGCACACGGGAATCAGTGACAAAACCAAAGGGAAAAAAAAGATAAAATTCGAAAAAATAAACAGTCAAAGTGAGGGGGTTGGGCCAGACGACCCCAGGAGGGTTGGTTTCTAGCTGCCAAGGCCAGTTCCACTCAGCCTGGCCAGGGGAAGGATAGCACGTGAGGGGGCGGTGGAGGTGGGACTTCTGGCCGCCAGCCCTGTTCTTAGCCACCGGGTCACCACGGCGGGGTGTTAGCCAGGGGCAGAGGATCGAGGGAGGCCATTGACCACACGGACAGAGGAAGCTGCTGACTGATTCTGGGGCCAGATGCTGGGGCAAGCTTGAGGCCTTCAGACCCCAAACAACTATTAATGACATGGGAAATGGACCACTAGACAAGATGTGGGTACAGAGCCTTCCCAGCAGGCTGTGGGAGGTTGCTACAGAGAGATGGGGCTTTGCCTTTGCTAATCTTTGTCAAGTTACTGAGCCTGCTTGCCTCAGTTTCCCTATTTGTCAAAATGGGGTGAAATGGAGCGGTCTCTGGTCCAGGCCCCTCCTGCCAGAGTCCTCCCCTTCTCTGAGAAGCGACACCACTCTGGAGACCCGGCCCTGAATGATGGGCTGTGATCAGGGAGACCTCCTCTGCTGCCCCAATATGCAGAGCTGTTTGCTTCTGAGAATGCCGAGATGAGAGGCCTCTTCCTGACTTCTGACAAGAGCAAGCTGTGTTTGAAGGCGTCTGGCCCGATATGCTTGGCTTGATGGAGCTTCAAGCTTCCACGCCCCACGAGGGCTGTCAGTCACGGTGACACGTCTGCTGACGTCCACCCGGTTCACTCGTCCCTATACCTGCCAATGAAGCAGCGGCTCACCCGCCTCCCCCAACACCACCAGCCGATGGCCCTGCCACCGTGGCGTCAGACAGATGAGCCAGGGAGGGGAGCGTGAGGGGAGAGAAGGGACGGGACCCAGGCCCACCGGCAGCAGGGCGCCCAGATTCCACAAGAGCCTCCTTCCCCCGCCGTTCCGCCTGAGCGCCAGGTGCAGCCTTATCTCAGCTGATCCCAGACACCCGTCACATCCCGATCCCAAATCCATCAGCAATCAGACAACAGGTTATGACACAGTAGAACAGTTTGCTGGTTTAAGTATAAAGCTGTCCAAAAGCTGAGCCGTCCACAGCAGCCAAAAACACACCCGGTGGATAATCAATGGACTGTTCATTGAGCTCCCCACACAAGGCTGAAGCATGGGGGGTGGGGGTGGAGGGGGTGGAGAAGGGAGAAAGGAGAGAGAGAAGGAGAGACAGACAGACAGAGGGAGAGAGGGAAAGAGGGAGAAAGGGAGGGAGAGAGAGGGGGAGAGACAGAGAGAGAGAGAGAGGGAGAGAGGGAGGGAGAGAGAGGGGGAGAGAGAGAGAGGGACAGAGGGAGAGAGGGAAAGAGGGAGAAAGGGAGGGAGAGAGAGGGGGAGAGAGAATGAGAGAGGGAGGAGGAGGGGGGTAGGGGAAAGAGGATGAAAGAAAGAACAAGACAGAGAGATTGAGGAAGGGAATAGGAGAAAGAAAACAAAAAAGAGAACGAGAGAAAGAGAAGGGAGAGGGGAGAGAACAAAAGAGAGACAGAGAGAGCGCTGAAGCGCACAAGCTCGGGCGTGGCCACTATTTTCCCCATCACTGATTCCCTCTGAAAAACCCCCTTTGGATGGAGCATTTGAGGCCGTGGAAGATTCTGTCGCCTCCCGATTCCCCGCCAGGTGCTGGAGGGAGCTTGGCCAGGGGGATCTCTGTGCTGTCTCCCGCCTGGCCTCAGGCCCTCTAGGCAGAGGTCCCCTCAGCCTCACCTGGGCAGAGCCTCTCCCCAATTCCGTGTTCTTCCATTTGATTCAGCCCCTACTATAAGCTTGTGTGGACAGGTGCTGAGCCCTAAGGTCTTCCCAAGAACAGAGGCCCTGCAAAGCACTGGCCTGGGGCCCCATCCCAGGCCAGTCACTTGTTTCGGTCACTAGGGCTTGGCCCCTTACCTCTCAAATGGGGCTAAAAATCCCAGGCCTGCTCTACCTTCCCAGGGCTGCTAGGAAAATTTGATGAGATAAAGGGGGAAGAGTCTATACAGCATGCCCCAGGACATAAGGGACTGGTAGCATTGCTAAAGGCAGGGCTTTGGGGAGGAGGCGCTAGTAAAGGCTACTGGAATACTGCCTGCAGCCAAAGGAAAGTGGGTTTTCTCTCCCAAACACAAGACAGTGTGGTGTGGTGTGAAGAGGACTAGTCTGAGAGATTGGGGTTGTCTAATTCTGGCTCCGCCCCTTGGCTAACCTTGGGCAAGCTAACTAATCTTCTGTTACCTCAGTTTTCCTATCTGGAAAGAGTGAACTAGATGATCTCCAAGGCCCCTCCCAGCCCTGACATCCCCTGTTCCCAGGCCCCTCCCTGCTCTGACATCCTCTGTTCCCAGGCCCCTCCAGCCCTGACATCCCCTGTTCCCAGGCCCCTCCAGCCCTGACATCCCCTGTTCCCAGGCCCCTCCCAGCTCTAACATCCCCTGTTCCCAGGCCCCTCCCTGCTCTGACATCCACTGTTCCCAGGCCCATCCCAGCCCTGACATCCCCTGTTCCGAGGCCCCTCCCAGCCCTGACATCCCCTGTTCTGAGGCCCCTCCCAGCCTTGACATTCCCTTTTTTAAGACCCCTCCCAGGTCTGACATCCCTAGTTCTAAGGCCCCTCCCAGCCCTGACATCCCGTTCCCAGGCCCCTCCCAGCCCGGACATCCCCTGTGCCCCGCCCCCCCCCCCCCCCGTGACATCCCCTGTTCCGAGGCCCCTCCCAGCCTGACATCCCCTGTTCTGAGGCCCCTCCCTGCTCTGACAGTCTGTCTTTCTCTGATACTGAAACAGTCCATCACCTAAGCTGGGCACTCTTGTGCTCAAGCTCAGAAACCAGCCCCTAGCTGAAGAAGCAGGTTCCCAGCAGCCCTCTCTCCAATGAGTTCAACAAAAACTGTTCATTCTCAGGCAGTTCCGCTCCAGAATTAGGGAGGACTTTCCTTCCTGAATTCCCCTCCTCCCCTAGGAAGATAATCTGAAGGTTTAAGATCCTAACCCGCATCCCAATTCATTTTTTTGGAAGACAAGTGAGAATAGCAAGAAACAGGAAGCCAAAAGGACCCTGCCCCCCACTGGGTGCCCACTTGCCCTCTAATGATGCCAGCTGTGTGGCACAGCTCCCTCTGAAGGGCTGTCTGTCCTAGCTCCTGACACACCAGCTGCCTAATGGCTTTTCAATGAAGCTCTGGTGGGTGACGGACCCCAGGGAGGGGAGAAAAGCGCTTACTTCCAATACCACGTACTGCTCGGGGGTCGGGGCCACTGCCATCACACCCAGCACGCGCTCACATTCCTGGGAAATAGCATTGATTGAAGCTAGTAATGGGTTCATGATCTCTGGGAACTGCAAGGGAAAGAAGGAACTGTGAGGCCAGAGACAACGGAGGGGTAGGAGAAGCCGCTCGGGCCAAGGCCTGGTCGCCCTCTCCCTCCTCCACAGGTCGGTCTGACAATGTCAGGCTGGACACTGCCTAGACCTGCCACCATCCCATCTCTTCAGGGGACACCGGCATCCTGGGGTCTAGGCCTCCTCTGCTCAAATGGCACTCGTGTGACTCAGGGCATGAGTCTCTGCTCTCCAGAAGACGTGGACAATGAACCAGACGCCTCTTCTGTTCACCTCCTCACCCCTGACCCTCAAGAGCTATCTAGTGCCTCCTCCATGTCCCCCAGCACTGTGCTGGAGGGAGGAGGATGGAGAAGGAGCCGCTTCCTTTCTAGTGACAAGAAAAATAAAAACCACAAGGAGGATAACATATAAAGCGAATAAATATAAATACAGACAGAGTAGTTTGGGAGGGAAGACACTACCAGTCCAGAGGGTGAGGAGAGGCCTCCTGTAAAGGTGGTGTTTGAGGGAGCAGAGGAGAGAGGGTGCATGGCAGGTAGGCCAGCCAAGGCCAGGGCATGGAGACAGGAGACAGAGGGCCATGTGGGAAGAACACAGACCAAGAAAACCAGCGGCTGGGAAGCCAGAAGCCCTGGGCTCTTCACCAGGACTGCTGAGAAGCCTTAGCCAGGCCACTTAATCCTGCTGGGCCTCAGTTTCCCTGCTAAAATTGCCAACTGGCCAGCAGCTCCCCAAACTTAAGCCTCCATGCTTTTGCACGGGCCTCGTCCTCACTCCCACCATGTGGAACCCTTGACCCTTCAAGGCTCATCTTCAGGGCCTCCTCCCACAAATCCCCTTCCTTCTCAAAGGACCACACACATCCTCACCAGTTTACCAACTGTATACCCCAAATAGAATGGAAGCACCAGGAGGGCATGAAGTGTTTTTGGTTTTGTAAGTATATCCCCAGCACCAAGCCCAGGGCCTAGCACACAGGAGACATGTAAGCAATGTCTGGTGGAGTGGATGAGATTCACATGGCTAGACAGGGAGACTGGAAGGAGAGAGAAGTGGACGATGGATCACCATGAGGCGAGGAAGCAGGCAGTCCTTGGCTTTATTCTCGTCATTTCTCTGGGGCCCAAGTTTGCCCCCACCCCCGACCCAGAAACCCAAGAGAACTCACCTTTACCAGCTTGTCTTTGACACCAGCCACCAGGGTCTTGGTGCTCCGGGGCACTTTGGTGTTGGTCAGGAGAATTCTCAAGATCGGAATCCTGGGGTGGGGGAGAGACAAAACCTCTTAGGCCTTCTCCCCAACACTCCTTTTGTCCAAGAGCAATCCAAACTGGGACTTTCAACTAGGTTTTCTGGCTTGTCTTCCTGTGCGGCCTAATTAATTGACCCTGATGTACAACCAAAAGGTATAGCCAAGCAGTAGAGAATGCAGTTTAATTGGATAAATGTTGAATTGCCTCGAGGACAAACTACAACCTCCTTGGCCTAGAATTTAGAGCCCTTCACTCTCTGGCTTCAACCTACTTTTTCAGCTTCATTTCCTATTATTATCCTTAATGAAGTGGTGGGAGCCAAACTGGCCAATGAGCAGTTCCCGAATCAAAGTCACTGCCCACCTCGGGCACACTCTGCCCCCTCCATCCGCACAGGCTGCCATCCTACCCGACCCAGACCTCCCCCACTGCTAACAAGCTGCTTCTGCCTTCTCCTCCAGGGGCTCGTGGACCTAACGCTGGAAGGAGCCTTGGAGACCATCCAACCCAGCCCCCTCAATTGAAAGATGAAGAAACTGAGGTGTAAGGAGGGAGGGAGGCGCCTCAGCCCAGATCACAGAGGCTGGATTTGGGCCCGGGTCCTCTGCCTCCAAAGGCAATGCTTTTCTCACTGTATCACCCTGTGTGTGTAATGTAGCCGCTCACTAGAATGTGAGGGCTCTGAGGGCAGAAACTCCTCTCCCTTTGTCCTTGGGCCCTCCCCATGCTGGGAGGGGGCTTACTTCTTCATTTTAGATTTGATCCACTTGGGACTGTCCCACTGGACCCTGAGCACAATTAATCAATCAATATTTACTAAATGCCCCCTATGCACCAGGCACTGTGCTAAGATCTGGGGATACAAAAAATGCAAACAATTGTCCCTGCCTATAAGGAGCTCACAATCTAACAGAGGAGAAAATAAGTATACAAATACACGCAAGACGAGCTACATACAAGATATAAAGGAACGGGGGGCGGGAAGGGGGGGCATTAGAATTAAGAGGAGTGGGGAAGGCTTCCTGTAGAAGGTGGGATTTGAGGTGAGACTTAAAGAAAGTCAGGGAGGTCAGGAGTCCAAGGAGGAGGGAGAGCATGCCAGGCCTGGGGGGCAGCCAGACAAAGTGCCCAGGGCAGAGAGATGGAGGATCTGGTTGGTAGAACAGCCAGGAGACCAGTGTAAGTGGATAGAAGGGGTCGTGTTGGGAAGTAAAGTCTAAGAAGACTGGAAAGGTAGAAAGGGGCTGTGGGCAAGGGGCTTTGAGTGCAAAATGGTGTTTTGTACTTAATCCTGGAGGTCACAGGGAGCCCCTGGAGTTTACTGAATAGGTCAGACCTGTGCTTCAGGAAAATCCCTTTGGCGACAGACCCTGCCCCACTTCCCCGGCAGCTACTGCAGACATCCAGGGGGAGGTGATGAAGGCCTGCACCAGGGTGGGGGCTGTGTCTGAGGACAAAAGGGGGCATAGGTGAGAGATGCTTCAGAGGTGAAACTGAAGGGCCTTGGCACCATCTTGGATCTGCGGGGTGAGAGAGAGTGAGGAGTCCAGGCTGACTGCTAGGCTGGGAGCCTGAGGGACCGGGAAGATGGTGGTGCCCTCGACAGTCACAGGGAAGGTAGGAGGGGGCAGGGGGGAGGGGGAAAGTTCTGTTGCGGAGGAGAAATGTTAAGAGGAGACACGGCAGCTCCTGCTTTCAAGGTGTTTACTCTGAACTTGCGGAAAGTTCCCCCACCAAAAATGCCTACTAGGTGCCTTGCATCGTGCTAAGGGCTGGGGACATAAAGAAAGGCAAAAAGACATCTGGGCCCTCAAGGAGCTCAGCCTAACGGGAAAGATAACAGGAAAAACAGTCGTGTATGAACAAGATCTATACAGGAGACCAACAGAGCAAAGACCCTAGGATTAAGGGGGGATTGGAAAAGGCTTCTTGTGCAGCAGAGGATCCAAACGTGACCTAAAGCCCCAAACAGATTAAAACAGAATCGGGAAATACTTAACAAAATGGATGAAAATACGGACAACATTACATTTTAAAACTAAGTCAACATGCAGCCTCCAGGGATCTTTGGGTGTGGACTGGTGGCTCCTGTATTGAGAGGCCTTGGATACCGCTGCTGTAGAAGGCAGGCTGTTGCTGGGCCTTGAAAGAAGCCAGGGAAGCCAGGCAGATGAAAGGGAGCATATTCCAGGCATGGGTCATAACCAGTGGAAAGGTAGGAGGGGACGGGAGTAGGGAATCCAAACCTGGATTCAGTCAAAGGGCCGCACTTGAGGACCTAGAGGGCCACACGTGGCCTCGAGGCTGCAGGCTCCTCGCCCCTGGCCTAGGTCCTGAAGGTCTCTGAATGCCAGAGCATTTCATATTTGATTCTGCAGGCAACAGGGAGTCACTGGAGTTTATTGAATAACGGGATTACATGGTCAACCCCGTACTTTAAGAAGATTAATATGACAGCTAATTGGAGGGTGGATTGGAGTGGAGAGACACCTAAGGCAGGAAGACCCTCCAGCAGCTACTGTGATAGACCGGGGGTACACCGGGGCAGAGGCGGTGTCAGAGCTGAGAAAAGGGGGTGGATTTGAGAGATGTTAAGAAGGCAAAAGTGACAGGCCTTGAAACAGATTGGATATGGGGGGGAAGAGTAAAGAGCTGAGGATGACACGTAGGTTGTGAGCGTTGGTGCTGTCCTTCACAATAACAGAGAGGTTCAGAATGGGAGAAAGTTTGGAGGAAAGAGGAAATCAGTTCTGAACACGCTGAGTTTGAGACATCTATGGACATCCGGTATGAGATGTCCCATGGGTAGCTGGAGGTCAGGAGAGAGGTCAGGGCTGGAAAAGCAGCACAGAGATGAGAACTGAATCCAGGGAAGCTGATGAAATCACCCAGTGAAAAGGTATAGAGGGAGAAGAGGGCCCAGGACAGAGCCCTAAGGGACACTCCCAGTGGATGAAGATCCAGCCAAGAGAACTGGGAAGGAGCAGTCCCACAGACAGGAGAACCAGGGGAGACCAGTGTCACAAAAGCCTAGAGAGAAGAGGGCATCAAGGAGAAGCAGGTGATTGACAGTGTTAAAGGCTACAGAGGCCAAAGAGGATGAGGACTGAAAAGAGGCCATTAGATTTGGCTATTAAGAGATCACTGGTAACTTTGAAGAGAGCAGTCTCTGTTGAATAATGACAATGGCGGCCACATCTTGGAGCAGAGGCATCAAACTCACAGGTGTCACCCAGCATCTGGTACCTAGCACCCAGCAGAACCCCGAGTGTAGCCAACTAGGTTAAAATCTAATTGGGAAATGTCTAACAAAATAAATACACAATCCAACATAACATTAATTTGCAGTTTTTGAAGTTAATGTGTGGCCCGCAGAGATCTATGCCTATTTGAGTCTGGGACTCCTGCCCATAGAGAGTAGAAGACAGAGGAGAGGGAGTCAAGGTGCCCACGGTGGACAGTCTTTGCAAGTTTACAACAAAGGGGAGAAAAGTAATGGGACTGGCAGGGATGGACTGAGCCAGTGAGGGGTTTTTGAGGACCAGGAGACACGGGCACGTTAGCCGGCAACAGGGAAGCAGCCAGGAGAGAGAAGTGAGAGGTTGGGGTGATGGAGAGGAAGGGGTGGAATGGGATTGCCTCAAGTGGGCAGGGCTGAAGGAAGAGATGGCAGCGGGAGGCATCTGGGCAATGGGAGGTAAGGAGGGAGGGAGAAGGCCTTCAACCTCAGTGAAACAGGAGGCGGCGGTCTGGGCTGAGAGGCCATGGGGCGTCTGGGGAGGGATGGAAAGCTTTGGAAGAGCCGCCAAGGAGACAGGGAGAAGTGGACGAGGACGGTCTTGCCATCATGACAGCACAGCTAAGGTTGAGTCAGATAAATCGGGGTGGACCCCCACAGCACAGCCCCAAAAGGAGCCAAGGCAGCAGCTGGTGGGAATCATCCATAGCTAAGACCCGACAGGGCAGAACTGGCCATGGGAGAAGAGGGCCAGGCCACGCAGACCTGAACTGATTCACCAAGGGGTCAGGAGGGGGACGAGAAGAGAGCATGGCTGTGCAGGGCCTGGAGGTCACAGGATCGAGATCAGATAAAGGAATCCCAGAGGCTGTGAACTCTGGACGCCTCTGGATAATGCCAAGATCAAAGGTGGGGCAGAGAAGCAGGTCACGGGAAAGGACTACATAGAGAAACTGGGGAGTTAGGGTGATTTGGGGTGTCCCCAAGTGTGAGGGCAGATGAGGAGGAGAAAAAGGCCATGAGCCAGGAATTTAGCCCACTGAGGAAAGTGGGGGCGCATGCTGGAAGTGTGTGGACAGCAGCGTGGTGGACAGGGAAGAGAGGTGATGGGGGTGGGAAGAGAGCCTGGAGGCAGCAGTGGCAGTAAGGAGTGTTCCAACGCCCCCAAATCACCCAGTGCTGGTCAATTCATCTGTCATTTATAATCTTAGAAAGTTACCCTGGGCACTGAGTGATTTGCCTAGATCGTACTGCCAAGACTGGTAGAAGGCAGGACTTGAACCCAGGTTCTCCCAGGGCTACCAACTGTAACCATGCTATACTGCCTAAGGAGGTGCCCCTAGCTGCCCTCCAAACTAGGCATGGCCCGATTAGGGCAGAAGACTTCTCCCTTTCCTATTACTGGATATTATGCTACTCGATGTGGTTTTGCTTTTTTTTTTTTTTTTGGTGAGGTAATGGGGTTAAGTGACTTGCCATGGGGCACACAGCTAGTAAGTGTCAAGTGTCAGAGGCCACATTTGAACTCAGGTCCTCCTGACTCCAAGGGATCCACTGCACCACCTGGCTGCCCCTTATACTGCTCAATGTGAAAACTAAGGCTGCATCTGCTTTGTCAGCTGCTGTATCCTACCATTGACTCCTACTGAGCTTGTAGTCCACTAAAACCCCCAGATCTTTTTCAGAAGACTGCTGCCCAGCTTCTCCTCCCCCATCTGGTACTTTGGGAATTGTAAAGTAAATCTCATTAAATGTAGTCCAATGACCCAGGGCCTGTTGGGTTCTTTCCAGGGATGGGGGTGACCTATGAGGCTACTGAGAGGAGACAGGAGACAGGAGGTCTGGTGTGACTGCAAAGGTGGGGAGGTGGGGGACAGAGGCAGGGTCTTGAACCCCAGGCCAAACAAGACCCACGGAAGACTCTGGGCAGGTGAGGGGCACAGCCAGCCCATTAGAAAGATGGTTTAGTGGCTACCCAAAGGGTGGATGAGGAGGTAACGACCACGTGTTCCCCCGAGCAGCTCTGGGGCAACCAGCCCCGCCCTAGATGTTAGGACCCCTCCTCTGCCTGATGGATCCGAGTCTGTTTGAAGACAGAAAATATCATTACCTGTAGCCACATCAAAGACCCCTTGTGTCTCTGCTGGAGAGGAACTAGGAACATGGAGCATCCATGGAAAAAGTGGACCACTTCCCCTGGCCCTCACTCAGGCTGGCCTGCCCCAACCTCGCCACCTTGTGATGGCACTGTGCATAGAGCACAGGGCCTGGAGGCAGGAAGACCCAAGTTCAAATCCTGCCTCAGACTCTTATTAGTTGTGTGACCTTGGGCAAGCCACTTCACTTCTGTTTGCCTCAGTTTCCTCGATTATAAAATGGGGATGATAAGACCACCCACCTCCCACCAAACGAGGTAGTATTTGTAAAAAGTGCTTAGCACAGGGCCTGGCACGCATAGGCACTATATGCACCTTCTTCCCCTGTCATGACAGTCACCAGTCAGCCTCCCCCAAGGGACGGCCTGCACTTCCCACAACAGCTGCCAGACCGCCCCAGGAAAATGAGTCGGGGCCCTCTCATGGCCTCTAGTAGGGCTGCGAGCTCCTTGAGGCATGGACAACTCCCTGTGTTTCCCTCCAGTGCCCAGCCCCGTGTCTGTCCTGCTCACAGCGAGCACAAGGACTGGGAAGGACAGCGAAGGAGATGTCCAAGCCATCTCATTACACACGCCCTGGGTGAGCCCAGGTACGTCTCTCAGCCAAGCTGCACCTTGGTTTCTTCTGACCTGTCACGAGGTGAGGCTGGACTAAATAAATTGTCTCTACATCCTTTCCAAATTCAAATCCTAGAATCCCAGCAACGTGATGCTTTTTAAATAAATGAAATCACATGAACACATGTTCTATGTCCCTGTGCTCTAAGAGGCAACTGTGCCACGTAGGGCCAGGCTTTTACTTTCGTGGGTTCCTTCATTTCCTTTCTGAGGAAGATTATTGGGCAAACAGGGCTAACGAAGCTGGAATAAGACAAAGGACAAAGCCGTGTGCTTGGGCCCAACTCTCCATGCCAGGTGACGAAGCTGTAAAGGGGAGAGCCCAGCCACAGAGGGCAGTAGCCCCAGGCCTCACAGGGGGCCACAGGCATGAGCACCTGGCAGGTATGGCCTAGGGGGCACATCTCCCATGGGGGGGGTTGGATAAGGTGGTCACTGGGGCTTCTCTCCTGTTCTCTGCTTCCCTGACTTTAAGCTGGAAGGCCCCAGTTCCCCCCTCCCACTGGCATATCAGGGCTGGTCCACCCCACCCCTACCCCATCCCCTGCCTCCCACCTCTCCACAATCACCCCGACTTTACCTCTGTAAAGACAAAACGTTCCCTCCTTGGAATCGAAGGGCTCCACCTAGAGAGGGGAACAAGGAAACAGACACAGCGCTATCTGTACAGTCTACAGTCTAGATCTCAGGACGCAAGTTTAATGTTGGGACGAGGCCACGGGGATTGGCTCTTCTCCAACACAGGGAGGGTCCTGGCAAAGAAACCTGGTTTGTCTTCATCTCAGCTCCAAAGTCCCCCGGGGCCAGACCAAGGAAGGACCTGAGTGAGTTACAGAAGGAACTTCCATCCAGGAGTCTAAGTGCCTCCAAAGTCCCCACTCTCACATCAGGCCTGGCCTCATTGGGCCGGGGGCCCCAAGCACCTGCCGCGTGGCCAGGCTGCCTGTTCCACTCCGACACCCATTACTCTCTCTGTAAACAGAGCTGCTGTAGCCAAGACTGTCAGCCCCCACAGCCAGCATGGGGAGAGACTTCCTTGCATGTGGCTAGGCTGGTCCCCAGACCACAAACCATCCCTCAGGGCCATGCTTGAAGCCCTTCCACGCTGGAAAGACTTGACAGGGTTGGCCTGAGATTATTACTTCCATGCATCAGAGGAGGGGAAAGCAAGTCTTGGACCTTCTGTGGGTGGGGCCCTCTGCAGACTCTGGGGCATTCAGACCCTGATCCACTCTACCCTCCTACCCCTGCCCCACCCATACTCCGCCCACCTCTTACCAGCGAGCTCGAACACTGGATGAACTTCCCAAGGACAGCTGCTGCACGGGATGCATTAGAGATTTTCTCCCTAAGCAGGGAGGTTTCACTGCCCCTCGTTCTGAACAATCTAGCCTGAAACTGAACTCCATAGCAAGGGGGAAGAAAAGGAACATACCCCAAGTGCTGATGGAGTTATCCACACCAGAAGGGTTCCCATGAATGACCTTCTCTCCCAGAAAGGCCCATCTGTTAATCAAATTCAGCTCCTCCTCAGTCCACCTGACGAAGCAAGAGAGCCAACTGTCATCACCACTGCCAGCAGCTCACAAGAGGGTTGGACTGCCCTCGTTCCCTCTTTTGACAAGATCAGAGGAATCAGGCAGACAGAACATCCCATGATTTCTGTGGAAACACCAGGCACTTCGTGGTATCCCTGTGGACCCGATGGCTAGGGGGCACGAAGGGCAAGGAAAGAAGATTTGGAATTGGCTGAAAGCCAGGACTCAGAGAAAAGTCATTAATGGGTCTACTTGGAAGGAAGTCTCTAGTCAAGGCTTGGAAGTATGGGGGTACTTGGCTCCGGGCAGCTTAACATGGATCACCAAGAACTAGGATGAAGACACTAAAACCACTTGTCAAATCTACAGAAGACAGGAAGCGAGGAGGGACGGCCAACAGGTTAGATGATGGTACAAGCCAAAGAGACCTTGACAGGTTAGAATAACGGGCTACGTCTAATAAGATGAAACAGAGCAGGGATAAATGTCAAGTCCTTCAACAAGGGTTCAAATAGTCAACATCACAAACACAAAATGGTGGAGGTATAGCTAGATGACCCAAAAGCAGAGCCACAGAATCTCAGGAGTTGACTGACCTCAGAGGTCATCCTGTCCAACCCATACCCATCCAAGAATCCTTTCCATCATATTCCCTAACACGTGGCCAGGTAGCCCTCCCCAAAGGTCTCTGGAGCGGGGAAACCAAGGGAGCCAGCACAGTATAGAAGAGAGGGTGCTGACCATGGGGGCAAGTTATGTAACCTCTCTGTAGTCTAAGTTTCCTCATCCAGAGAAAAGAAGATGGACAACCCCCTTCAGATCGAGAGCTACAATTCTGCCTACCAAGGCAGCCCATTCTGTTTCTGGATAATTTGAACCATGGAATCCTTCCTTACAATGAGCTTAAATTTGCCTCTCAGTAATTCCCACTTACAGCACTCTTTCGTCTGCCCTCTTGGTTCAAGTCAACCAAATAGGTCGGACCCCTTTTTCCATATGAGTGGCAGGCCTTCAAATATTCAAAGACTCAAGCCACCAGCGGGTCAGACAAGTGGTATGACGGTGAGATGGGGGAATTTGTCTTGAAAGTTGGAAGGGATCATAGAAACCAACTGGAATGTGGACTCTTAATCTTTCTAGAACCCTTTGTCTTTGGCATCATCCCTGCTCAGAATCACAGTTTTAAATAATTGAGGGAAATGCTAAATTTCAGTTAGAAATCAGTAAAAATAAAGATGCAATTCTTTTTTCCCATCCAAGTTCACAGGCCCCAGGTTATACACCTCTGATCTAGACCAACCCTCTCATTTTATAAAGGAGACCCAGAAAAGTTAAGGGAGTTGACCAGCATCACACAGGCAGGAGGCTGCAGATTGTCAGACTCCTAATCCTGCCATCTTTCCAGGAGACCAGACAATATGGTAGAGTGGAAAGACCACCAGATACGGAGTCTGAAGATCTGGGGCCCAGCCCTAAGTCTGGCACGAACTAGTTGTGGGATTGTGGGTAAGTCATTTCCCCTCTGAGGGTGTTACTTTTGACCTCTGTCAAAGAAATGGGTTGGCCTTAGACACCTCTGAAGCGCCTTGCATCTCTGCTGCTGTATAATATCCAGGAGTAAAAGAGAATCATTAGAAGCAGTAAGACTGAGGAATGCAGAATGAAGAGTGACCAGCAGGAGGCAAATGGATGTTACCGATGCACTCAGAGCCAAGACATCCAAGAGCTGGAAAACCTTCTGCTCGATATTCCTCTGTTAAACAGAGGCTCCTCGACCTGCCCTCCAGAGGCCACCTCCCAGGAGTACTTCCTGCTTCCAAGCCAGAGAGGATCTTTGGGGCCAATCAGTTGAATACCCTCATTTGGAAGTTGAGACCAAAGCCTTGGGAAGGAAGGAGGATCACCATGGGCCAGGTGGCACCCACCATCAGCAGGCAGTGCGGCCAACCCTGGAAGCCAAGGCCTCTGACGGCTGACACCCTGCTGAGTACTGATGACAGCTAGAAGGACTTTCTTTAAGGCCCCACAGTGAGTCAAAGACAGAATCTGCCTCACATTCCAAGTGGTCAAAGCTTGGGTGCCTGCTCTGATCCCAAGAAGATGCAATGCATTCCTTTGTACCCTTTCTCTTTTCTTGTAGCTGGTCCCCTGGCAGGCAGGCAGCAGAACCTAGCTAAAAAGAGTCGGGACCTTCCAGGAACATCTCCTCAGGCCATACACATATCTTCTATGCTACAGACAAAAGACAACATTCACTTACTAGAAAATCCTCACAATTTGCTTTGGCTCCAATGGAATGGATGTTACTTAAAGAAGGATGGGGCTCTGCACTGGGAGAGAAAGCCTACACCACTTACGGCTGTGGACATCCATAATTCCATCAACTATTCCAGTGGGACGAGGCCTTGTGATCAAAAACAAAGAATGTTCAACCAACGGGACCCTAACACTAAAGGTCTTTAATAACAAAAAGCACAATGTCAGGGCTGGAAGAGACTTACAAGCAGGAATGTTAGACTAGGACGGTAGCTCCGGGTGGGGACTCTGAGGTTATCTTATCCAGTACCTTCATTTTAAGGATGAAGAAACTAAGGGCCAGAGGTCCAGAACCTCACCTAAGATTATCGAGCTTGTTAATAGTACAGGGAACCATAGAAAAACTCCAGAAAACGGGCTTGTTCAACCCCAGGTGCAGCTCTGCACCATCTGCTGTCTTCCCCTCCACATTCCTCTCTTCCACACGAGAGCTCACACAAAAGATCCAGTCAAAGCAATTCTGGGGAATGTCGACAGAAATATTAATACCAGCAGCTCTGGCATCAGCGGCAGGCTACATAGATCAAAGCTCCCTTTGGCAAAAGGCATCAGGGTTTGACAGCATTTTCATCTCAGAACAGGAATTCCAGGATACAACCAACACTAAATGGCCCATTTTTATAGGTGTCACAGCATCACACATGAAAGGAAGCCAGGAAACAGAAGACTAGGACTCCCAGAATAAGAGGGATAGGAACAGATGTAAAATATAATCAGCCAGGAACATAAGCCCCTTTGAATACGTTCTGGGGCTGGCAGGAGGGTGTTCTTAACATCACACTATTCTTGGCACAGGATGTAACAAATAACCAGTTTTTTCTGTCCTATAAAATAACCAAATCACAGAAGAATTCCCTACAGATGGTGAGGTTCTCCAGATTATCCTCTTTGCAGATAACATTGTGCTAAGTGCATAAAGTCAGAGACTCTTCAATGAGATTTATAATCATACAAAAGTTTGGCCTGACAACTCACACGAGACAAACCAAGTGGATGAAGACTGTCTTTTGTCCAGACCAGGACATGCAGATGAATGGACACTGTCCTGGACAGGCACTGCAACGATGAGCAACGGGGCCCAAAGATGAACGAAGCAAGAGCAGGCTGACTTGCCTTCCAAAACCGCATGGCGCTTTTACTTCTCCCTGACACAAAGGCGTCACAATCCTTCCCGTGATGCCACAGGGCATCTGTGAGCCAAAGAGTACAAAGAATGAAAGAGAAAAGGCACCCAGAGGGCAGGGGAGCCATACACAGAGGGCGCAGGCAAGCTACCAACCCAAGAGCCAAAGAACCAGACAGCAGCTGGAAGGAGATCATCATCTGATCGGCGTACAAATGGCGAGAGGTCAATGGCCAAGTGGCCAAGAGCCTGCCTGGGCACTCCCATGGCATTTGGCAACGTGGAGGCCCTCATGCACCAGCCAGCCCTGTGGCGACCTGTAGGAGACCAGGGATGAGAGTTACAAGAGATGGGAAGGTCTAAACGGGCTGTGAGTGGCCCCCAGGGAGGATTATCCCTGGTGATGCCACAGGCCCATCTAAGTCATGCAAGACAGAACCAGGGGCTGCCACCCTGCCAGGGGCACTCGATGCCACAGCTGACACTGAGCACTGTCTGCCCTGGGGCCCTCGGCCCAGGACTCGTGTGAGGCAGAGTGCTCAGTATAACCCAAAGAATCCCACGGGGAGGCTCTCCTCAGAGCCAGGTTCCATGTCCCCTCCTCTCACTGGTGTAAAGTCAGGCAGCTAGACTAGCTGCTCCCTCGGGCCCCTTCCACTTTGGAAGTTCTATGGCCATTCCACAACAGCTGACCTTTGCACAGTATCCTAGGGAACCTGATGGAAAAGCATTTGATGCACCAAACGTCCTGTGGGCCTCACAGCCCAGAGGCAGGCAAGCAAACAAAACGTCAGAGGGGTGCCCTGTCCAGGGTCATCTGTGCCTGAGGAGGGACCTGAGCCAGGCCAGGCTCCCTCCCAGTGACCCCCCAGACTCACAAATGGCGCCAGCCTCCAGGTGCAGAGGGCGAGCGGAGAGAAGGGGAGGGAGCCAGATGAGGGCAGTCTACACGTGTGCGATGCTTTCTGTGTCGAAGGCCGTGTGCGTAAGCTCATTTCAGCTCCACAAACACCCTGGGAGGCAGGCAGCTCCTGTCCTTATGACGCCCATGTTACAGAAGGGGGGCTGCAGCCACACTGTAAATGGCTTTAACCGCCCCCACGAAGGAGCCTGTCCTGGATCTAGAGGTGACAGGGACCCACAAGAGTCTGCTGATCAGGGGAGCAATGTGGCTAGACCTGGGCTTCAGGAAGACCACCCTCCAGCAGCTGTGGGGAAGAAGGCCTGCAGGGAGTCTCAACTCAGGGGACAGTCACATGGGTGCAGAGAAGGCAGTAGACGCCGGAGAGCCTGTGGAGGCCGAATGGCCAAGACCTGGAGACAGGAGGGGTGCAGGGGAGCCCAAGGCTGTAGTGGAACATCCCCTCTGGGCCCCATGCGGGGATGGAGGAGCCTGGAGCCCAGAAGAGTCAAGAGGGCTGGTTTTCAGCCTCTTTCTACCTCCAACACCCTGGGCCTCCCCAGGACCCATGAGCCAAGTTACCTGGCACTGGCGGTGCCTTCCTTCAGATGACCCGTGATCTCTTCACAGGAGGCCAGCAGGGCAGCTGCCAAGCAGACCGAGTAGGCAGCGCTGGAGCCAAGGCCCGCCCCGGTGGGCAGCTCAGACCACACCACGATGTCCACGCTGGGCAAGGGCCTGAAACAGAAAGGCGTGACCTGCTCAGGGGAGCTGTCCAGACCCACCTTCCATTCAGGCAGCCAGGAAGTCAACGCCAGGGGCCGGCCCCTGGAGCCTACTGCTGAGATCTGGCCACAGCAACCACTGGCACAGGGTGGGCAAACCATTGTGTACCACTGCCCTTCCCTGGCGTGCCCACTGCCAAACAAGGACCAAAGAACTTCAAAGCTGGAAGAGAACTTGGGAGGACACCACCCTTGCTATTAGAAATTAAAATCCTCTTCCAACGCCTCCCCATGGCACGGAGGTGACCCTGAGCTCGCCAGGGCTCTCCCAGCAGAGTCTATGCCATCGCAGGTCCTAGCAATCAGTGAGTCAGTCAACAAGGGTTCATTAAGAGCTCGCTCACTGTGTGCCAGGCCCTGGGCTAAGCTCTAGGGATACAAAGAAAGGCCCTCAAGGAGCTTAAGGAAGCCAAGACGCTACCATTCTGTCCATCCAAGCTCTGGATGGAGGGTGATCTCAGCAGGGACGGCCCCGGGGCACAGGGGGAGACGCTTCCCACAGAAGGCGGGGTTGGAGCTGGGTCTGGGAGGAGGCAGGGAAGCCAAGAGGCAGCGGCAGCGGAAAGGCTCAGCAGCGGAAGGCAGACCTACCTCTGCTTCCTGCAAACAGATAAGTACAAATAGAGGAAGGCCAGCACGGCCAGGCACTCGCTATCGGAGGAGCCCGTCGGGAAGCCTGCAAACACCTTCAGTTTTTCCACTTGCTCTGGCGTCGGAGCTGGGGGCTCCCCGGAGTCTGTCAACAGAGCAAAAGAGCAGAGATGAAACAGGGGGCCTTCCGGACCACTGACCGCTGAGCCAAAACGGATACAGATCGGCTAACAGGCAGAATGGATATCCAAGTGGAGCGTCTGCAAAGTGCTTTGCAAACACCATCTCCTTTGAGCCTCACAGCCACCCAATGCAGTAGGTGCCATTTTACAGATGAGGAAACTGAGGCAAACAAGGTTAAGTGACTCGTCCAGCGTCCCACAGCTACTGAGTGTCTGAGGCAGGATTTGGACTCAGATCTTCCTGACTCCAGGCCCACTGCTCTATCCATTGCTCTAGAACAGAGGTCAGCAGGCCAAATCCAGCCAAATCCACCTCCTGTTCTGGATGGCCTACAAGCTAGGGATTCTGAGTTCATCAGCTCTACAAAAACAACAATTTTTAGCCCTCAGGCAACAGGCTAGAATTGGCTCAATGGACCGTAGCTCATCAACCCTTGTTGTAGGATCTTGGCTGTGTGGCTCTGGGCAAATCCCTTGGCCTCTCAGGGCCCAGGCAAGGCTTGTGAGGCCATAAGCTGCAGAACAGACATGAATCTGCATTGGCAGAGGGAGTTTTCTCCCTGGGAGCCCACTAAGGCCAATGAAATCACAGGTCAGACTAGAAGAAAAAAAAAAGGTTCTCCACGCATGTAACTTCCCATCCAGGAAATATTTCTCATACAACGTACAAGAGTGACGCAAAAATTAAATGACCAACTTGCCCTGGGCGTGTTCAGCTTACTGCTGAGGCCGCATCGGGCTGTCCATCTCACACACTCAGAGAGCCACTCACTGGTGGCTAAGAAGCATGCCCAGATCAGGTGCGTTCATTCACACAAGTCAGATCATTGGGGATGACTTAATTGGCTCTCGAGTGACGTGATTGTGACAGGCCTGAGACACAGGCAAGCCCACATCTGCAGGGCAGGTGTACAAGACTGTGTCGCTGTGTGTCTGTCCCGGCTGCCGCTGCAGCACACCCACTGACCCCAGGATCTCACAATCAGGCACCGTCTGACAGAAGGCTCAGGTCAGACAGTCGGCTGAGGGCCCGCCGTGCTGAGAGCCTCCACTTGCTCTGGGGGAGGCAGGCTGGGAAAAAGGGCACAAAAGGAGTTCACTGTCCCCCGTTATCTCTGTCTATGCCATTCTTCTCTTCCCTTAAGGGCCAGCTCAGGCACTAGGCCTTCCCTTTACCCAACTCAGCCCCTGACTGCTCCCTTCTCATACACATTCTGATCACGATTTCTTTGAGACCAAGGACTGCGTCACTTTCATCATTACATCTGCAGTAAGCAACACAGTGCCTTTCACCAATCAATCATTTGACAAGCACTGATTAAGCACCTACTATGTGCCAAACACTGTGCTAGGGTTAGAGACAACCACAGAGAACGAAACCACCCTCACAAGGGGCTTACATTCTAATAGGAGAGGCAAGTACATATAAACATACATACTGCAGAAATATCAAGTGAATAAATATCTTTTCACATAGTTGGTACTCTAAAAACGTTTATTGACAATGGCTAACAATCAGTGCTAGAAGGGAAACAGAGATGTCAAGGCCCAGTCTGTTTCCTCCAGGAGGGTCTGGTCTGAATAAAGAAACCACAATCTACAGCAATATGCTGAAGAGCTATCTTCATGCAAGATGGTCCGGCCTGGTGGCCAAAGGACTGACCCTGACACCAGGAAGCCCTGGCTTCTGATCCTACCTGGATACAACCTGGCTGTGTGACCCCGGCCCCAGCTGACCTCTCCCAGCCCCAGCTGACGCTCTCCAGTCCCAAGATCTGCATTGGCAGAGGGAGCACCCTCAGCCCAGAGTTCAGTGAATCCTTGGTCCAGCCCCGAGGCTTAAATTCAAGTGAGGAACAAGGCAAGAGAGTCAGAGATGAGGGGAAAGTGAACTCCTACAGGGTATCACCAAAAGGACAGGGATAAGGAGTTTGGGAACCAAATCCAAGGCTTGACTCAAGTCAAGATGCAATGACAATTTCATCTGTCAGTAGTCAATCAACAAACATTTATTAAGCACCTACTATGTGCAGACATTATGATTCTCAACAACAGGGAGGAACTGGGTGCTGAGGTAGAGATACCTAGAATTTTGTGGGGAAGTGACCACTCCACCTTAGAATTTATGACAAAGAAGAAAGCCAGGCGGTCTCACAGACTCCCCAGATTTGGGGGAGAGCAGATTTCAAAGGATCCAGAGAAAGGATAAGAAGGATGCCACAGAGTAAGCTCTACCGAAGAATTCAGCTCGAGAGAAACGGGAGGCTTTTAAGGATGAAATTCTAAAGAACAGTCCCGATGAGGAAAGAGGGATTCATTTCCAAAACTGGCCGAGACGATGCCCAGGAAACTCCCCAACCATGCTGGACGTTTAAAAGACTGGGAGAGGAGACGGAAGGCAGCGAGGCGCTGACGGAAGGCAGCGAGGCAGGGGAGGTAGAAGGAGAGTGCCTTGGGTGCACACACCCCAAACCTGCAGAACAGGCCCCGCTTGTTACAGCTCAGCCACTGATGTACCAAGCCCGGCAAAGAGAACCAGAAGAGTTAAACCCCAGAATTAGCTGAGCTTATCACGACGCTGAAGACAACAGATGGGGCGTTTTTGGGTAAGCTGGGAGAAAGCAGAGGATCACAGAAGGGACAGGACAGACTCTCGAGTGGATGGGCCAGTGACAAAGGACGACAAAGACATCAGAACCATCCAATTCTTTTTGTCTTCTCTGCCAATAAAAAGACTTTTTGGACTGGAAAGGAAAGCACCAAGCTAGCTAATAGGGAGTTGAAATCAAAGATCATTTAAGTGGAAAGTAGGAAGAGAGCACCTTGTGCTCACTCATCCCAAGCTCACAGAACAGGCCTGCTTGTTCCAGCTCAGTCCCTGACGTAACAAGGGCCAGACTGAGCATCTGACAGAGCACACACAGGGGGTCAGTGCCCACTGACTGTCTCATTAACACAACATGCCCCGTGGGAGTGCAACCTCAGCACTCCGTACACATCAGTGTTCTAGAGGCCATCCTCCCAAGAAGGGGACAGGCGCCCCAGACCAGAAACAGAGAACACAAATGACCATTTCAAGGAAACACCACTACGAACTCCTGGCCATCCAGGCCCTTAGAAGGGATCTTTTCTAACCTTTAACCGGCTAAAGGGCCCAGGAAGTGGATGACTGGACTTTGCTCGAAGAACTCCTCCCAAAACGGCCCCAGGTGCTTTCAGCAGCTCTGATCCCAACCTCCCACTTCTAAGCCATGGCAAACACCCAGGCAACCTCCCCGAGGGAAGCTCCCCACAATGAGCAGGCCAGGAGGTCGAGAACCCCCGGGCTTCTTTTGGTTAATCGCTTTCCAGCAGGCCTGAGCTCTAACCCATTTTCATTTTCCTGAAAGCACAGGCCAAGAGCTACACTGGCATCCACTGAATATTAAAACCCAGAAGGCCCCTCCACAGGGCTTATGGAAGGACATGAACACGGAGACAAGGACGGATGGATGGGACACCCACACCCACATGGTAGAGCAACGGGTCAAAGGGCTGGCAGACCCCCTGAAGGTCCGAGAAGTAGAGTACTTACCTAGGAAGGCCTCATGCAGAAGCTGGAGCTTGGAAACGTCCCAGTCCCTCTTGGCCCCTATGTTTGGCAAGCTGAGCCTCACTTTCTCGTCTTTTTGGGGCTTTATCCGCAGGAACGTTCTCAAGTTCAAGGCTTCAGCCAACGCGATCTGTAAAAGCCAACAGCAACCAAAGCAGAAGTCAGCCCAGATCGAGGAGCTCGGGGCCTCCTTCACATCTGCACCTAGAAGGTATTTAACAAGTCACTGAAGAATGGCCCAGGAAGAGATTCTCCTGGGGTCTGACAACTCCAGACAAGAATACTCTGTTCCCTTCTTTAGAGCCTACAGGGAAAGGAGGAGGAAAATGGCCTCATCCCAGAGCCTCCCTCAGCTCTGCTAGCAGAAGTAGCTGGCATCTGTCTTTCGCCTGACGAGCTGAAGAACAGCCACTCTCTGCTCCCTTCTACCACCGAATGCTACCCTCCAATCACAGATTCAGAGATGGAAGGGCCTGAAAAGGGATAGAGTGACTTTCCAAAGTAGAGTGACTGGAAGACTTGGGGTTCAGCCCCAAGATCCCAGAGGGACCAAATGCAGCCCTCTTTTCACCTTTTCTACTTTAACCAACAGTTGATGCCTCTGAGCAGGCTGGACCAGATTTCAACTTCCCACCTCCCCATCTCCACTTAGAGAATCAATGTTTCTAAAGTTTTTAGCCTCTTGGAAGAAAAATGCAGTAGAGAGGTGAGGCAGAAGCATCCTGGGGCCCGAGTCATTTACCTTGCCATGGACCACGGCATGCTCCCCATGAAGGATGATTTTCCCAGGCGCCGACACCAGCAAAGCCTCAGGCAACATGTTGAGCCTGTATCCTAAAAAGAAAAACAAAGTGGTCCTGAGGGGAGGGAGCCAAGAGACTTTAGGGAGCTGGAGAATCATGGACTGAGCACCTGAGGCCAGGGAGTCAGTCAATCAATAAGCTCTTATCATACACTTATTGTGTGTGAGGGGGACACAAAGAAAGGCAAAGATAGTCCCTGCTTTCAAGGAGCTCCCATTCTAATGGGGAGACAACATGCAAACAATGACATTCCTCATGTGTAATCTGAGTCTCACGGAAGGGGAAAAGACCTGTAGAAACCTAGGCCTCTACAGAGAAAGAAAGGAGGGGAAGATCGGGAGTAGAAGAGACACAGGACAAGCGGGTGCCGTAAGGGAGAAAGGAGAGACCCCGGGGCCCCCAGTCCCTTTGACCTGAGACCCTACTCTGCTGACCACTATTTCATGAGGGGCCCCAGCCACCCGCTTCATTCTAGATCTGTCTCTCTGGAGTGCTTCTCCATACCCACTTCTCTACCCACTTTTCTTTCTAGTTCCCCTTTATTATCTTGCCACCTAGGAATGTGAGACTTGAAAAGTTGGGACTGTCTTGTTTGCCAGTTTTCTGTATCCCCAGCAATTACTGGTACATACTAAGCATTTAATAAATAGATGCTTCATCTATCTACCAATCTTTGACCCTAGAACCCTTGGCTCTCTGTCCCTCAGCCCTTTCATACCATGGATCCCTCAAGCCTGGATTAAAGGGTCACAGAATTCAGACACAGCACAGATCCTACACATTATCTGAGCCCTTCATTGTGCAGAAGAAATTAAGTCTGCGTGGCTCAGTGGAAAACACGCCTGCTTTGGGAGCCTGAGGAGACCCTCTCAATCTAGGTAAAGCTGGGCAAGAGCCTGCTGAGGCCCGTTTCCTCATCTGTAAAATGCAGGAGGGTGACAAGGTCAATCAATAATCCATCAGCAAACGTTCATTAAGCCCCTGCTATGGCAGGAAGGAGGAGACACACTACAGAGGAGGTGAAGCTTGTCGGGATACACAGCCTTTAAGGCAGGCCCTGCCCCCGAGGGGCTTACACTCTGCACTGGGGGGGAGGGGGACTAACAGACACAATTTAACACTGGCACGTTCAGGGCACTCGCAACCACGGAGGGGCACCCCTAAGTCTACGGTCCTAGAAGATGCTGCGGGGCCAGCGGCTCTCCTCGGGCCCCCCGAGGCACCAAGCAGGGAAAAGGGCTGGGCTCGAATGCAAAGGGTGCCGGGTTCGAATCCCGCCGCACCGAAGCTCCCTTGCCCGTGGACGCCCCTCTCCAGCTTCAGTTTCCCCGTCTGGCAGTTGGTGATGGCCATAATACCTCCACGTAAGTGAAGCGCTTTGCAAACCATAAAGCGCTACAGGGGCGCCGGCTGTGGTCCGTATTGTTGTTATTACTGGTCACTTTGACCCAGGGGCCAAGTCAGGGTTCAAGGGTCAGAGCCTCCCGGCTCCGGACCTGCGGCCCCGGGCTCCCGGCAGGCCCAAGTTGTTCACGGTCAGCGGGGCGGCAGCCCCAGGCCCTTCCCCGTCCCCCCGGACGGCGATCTCACCGACAGTCGCTGCCACTCTTCAGTGCTCAAGCCGAGACGCTGTCATACACTGCCATCCCTGACAGCCAGGGAGGCTCCGCCCCCAAGATCGGCCAATCAGATCGTCGAGCCGCAGCGGCCCCTTGCTGAATGGCTATCGATGAACCCAATAGGACCGAGGAACGTACATCACATGGCCCGATCACCGCCCCCGCTGGGAGTCTGAAACCAATCGAAAATGCGTCTCAGGGTCAGGTCGGCCCTCGGCAGAGAGGCATTGGCCAATCGGACAACGAGAACTCGCGGTGGTGCGGTTGGTGGCGTGACCTCGGGGGCTGTACGGGAAGCGAGCAGGGTCAGGCTCAACGCGATGGCTCTATGGGGCAGGGGCGGCCGAATGGGCCTGGGCCTGGGCCTGAGCCTCGACTTGGGTCTGGCCCGTCTGGTCTGCGCGCGGGGGTTGCGGTGTTCCCGCAGGCAGAGCCACGGATCCCAGCAAGGGGAAAACGCTGCAAGGTGAGTGCTGGGCTCTTCTGCCAGCAGGCCCGGGTGGCAGCGACCCACGGGCTGATCAACCCTCGCCGGGGCATCGCCCTGGTAACACCGCCTCGCCGTGACGTCAGCGCGGCGGCGACGTAGTCTCGTTCTGATGTCACCATGGCAACGTCTGGCCAGCGTCCGCGTTTCCATCCTCCCCTTTCCTCCACGTGCCGCAGTGGGACAGAGCCCGGGGTGAGGAGCCAGAGACCCTGGTTCCAATCCTGCCCCGCCACCACTTAACTCTGTGCAAGGCGCCTGCAACCCCCTCCATCCTGATCAGTCACCCAACAAGCATTTATTAAGCACCTACTGTGTACCAAGTGCTGGGGCCTGTGTTTTCATTGGTATTGGGAGCTCTCTCAGAAGAGGAAATTCCCTCCACCAATGCAGGGCAGCACCTCCTCTGAAGCCGGTCACTTAAGTGACCTGAGCGTCCTCATACACAGCCAACAGTGGATCTAAGGCAGGACTTGAACCCAGATCTTCCTGAGTTGAGGCAGCTCTGTCTACTGTAGCCACAGTCACACTCATTTGGTATGTTGTTACCAAGATAAAAAAATGAAATGGGTCCTGCCTCAGCAAGCAACTGGGGTATAGTGGCTACAGTGTGGGACCTGAGTTTGAATCCTGCCTCAGATGTTTACTGACTGCATGGCCCTGGGCAAATCACTTAAACTCTGTCTACCCCAGTTAAAATGGAGATAATAGCAGCTTACAAATAAGATAGTATGTCTGAGTCAATAAATGTTGAGCATCTTCAGTGTGCCAGGCACTGTGCTAAACACGAAATACAGAATGTGCCAAAATTGTGCTAAATACAAAAATGTGCTAAAACAAAAATTGTGCTAAATACAAAAAGAGGCACAAGACAGGCCCTGCCCTCGAGGAGCTTATAATCTAACGGGAGGAGACATAGACAAACAAATATGTACAAAGCAAACTGTGTACAGGATCAATAGGAAATGAGGCCTGACATTAAGGGGGTTGGGGAAGGGTTCCTGTGGGAGATGGGATATTATTTAGGACTTGAAGGAAGCCAGGAGCATGACAGGAGGAAGACAGTGTTCTCGGCTTGGGGAACAGTCAGAGAAACATGCTCAGAGCTGAGAGATGGAAAGTGTTGGTGGTGGAACATCCAGGAGGCTGGTGTCTTTGGGTCAAAGGGTATGTGTCAGAGAGTCAGGTGGGAGAAGACTGGACTGAAGGAGGGGGATGGGTTATGGGGGCTTTGAAAGCCCAGCTGAGCATTTTGTGTTTGATCCTGGACGAGATAGGAAGTTAATAGAATGGGGGTGAAATAACAGGTTGTCAGACTTTCACTTTAGGAAGATCTGTTTGGCAGCTCAAGGAAGATTGGGTCAGAGTGGGGAGAGTCCTGAGGCAGGCAGACCCCCCAGCCACTATTGCAATAGTCCAGGTGTGAGGTGATGAGAGTGCACCAGGTTGAGGGCAGTGTCCGAGGAGAAAAGGGGGCGTATTCCAGAGATGAAGAATTGAAATCAAAGGACCTGGCACCATCTTGGATCTGGAGGGTGAGAGATAGTGAAGAGCCCCAGATGACTCCTAGGTTGGGCACCTGGGGGGACTCGGAGGGTGGCGGTGCCCTCAGAAGTAATAGGAGTGTTTAGGGAGAAAGATGAGTTCCATTTTGGACTTGTTGAGTTTAGGAGGCCAATGGGATATCCAATTTGAGATGTCTGAGAGGCAAGTAGAGATGTGGGACTGGAGGTCAGCAGAGACGTTGGGGCAGAATAGCGTGGAGATGGTAATTAAATCCATGGGAATTGTTGAGATTGCCAGGTGAAGTAGAATCAAGGGAGAAGAGAAGAAAAGAGGGCATATGTACAGTCTTTCATAAACCTTAAAGTGCTATATAAATGTTAGCTGTTATTCTTCTAGAGAATAAAATAGATGCATGTAAAGTAATATATATACGTATATAGTGTGTGTGTGTGTAAATCCAAGGTAATTTGGTAGTGTATTAGCAGCTGAGGGATGAGGAAAGGCTTCATATAAAAGGGAAGTTGGAGAAATATGGGGCACAGCTTGGACAAAGGCATGGAGGTGGGAAATAGAACATTGTACATGAGCAGATAGGCCAGTTTGGCTAGAATGGCACAGGAGTGTCATGTGTACTGAGCAAGGAGGCTGGAATTTGGTTGTCTTTAAATGCCAGAGAGGTTTTATACGTTATCCTAGCAGTGACAGAGATGCTGGACCTTTTTTTGAGCAGAAGGCTTTGGGAATGATTGATTCCATTGGCAGCTGTATGGAGGATGTTTTGGAGAGGGAGAAACTTGAAGCAGGGAGACTGAAGATGAGGGTATCGCAGAGTGCCGACCAATGATAATAGGTTGGAGAGCTTGCATCTAGTCCAATTTCCTGTTTGCAAACGGGGAAACTGAGTCCCAGAAAACAAGGTCACACTGAGTCAGTAGCAGAGCTGAGTTTGAACCCAGACTTCGGTTGTTTAGACTGCAGATCCCAGAGTTGGAAGGCGCAGAGCTCAGAGACCCCCTGGTCCCAGCCCATAACAGTAGGAGCGGCCTCCCTGACTCCTGATCCCCGCCCAGTCTTTGTTTGGAGACCGTAGCACCCTGTGCGGCAGCCCGCTTCTCTCTCCAGCAGGTCTTCTCAGAAGCCAGGTTTTTCCTCTGTGACCTCCACTCATTGCTGCCCTCCTCAGGTTTGGCCTCTGGGTCCTTCACTTCTGCCTGAGGCCAGCGATGCCCATTTGGAGGCTGGATTTGGAATCCAAGGACCCGGGTGACAATCTCTGCCTCTTACCCATGTGCCTTCCCCTGTCTGGGCCTCAGTTTCTTCATCTGTAAAACGAGGGGATTGAACCAGATGGCCTCAACGGTCCCTCCCACTCTAAATCCATGATGATCTGCATCCATTCCTAGGGCAGGTTGGTGCCTCGCCTGGTAGGACAACACACAGGCCAACCTTAGAACCACAAGTACCAGTGTGGCCAGACTAGACCTCCAGTCTTGTGGTGCTGACCCTGCCCTGTACCCCAGTATTCGGTGATTCTGTGAAGTGTAACGCATTTACAAAGTCATGTTCTTTTTCTGTGGGTGCTTTTAATAAACATTAAAATGTATGGATTCTCCTGAACCTTCTAAACCAGTCTGACTCCAGACAGTCATTCCTCTGGCTCAGCCGGCTGTCAGAATGTGCCCAGGCCCGCCTTTTGGACTTGTGGTCAGAGCCAGATTACGAGCCACAAGGACACCCAACAAGTCTGTTAACTCTAGGGCCACATGTTCTTTGGGACCCCCAATAGGATTTTCCAGCTCAGGCATCACACTCCGATGACAGATCTACTTTTAAAGGGGAGGAAAAAAACCCCACATACCTCTGAAAATATTTCAATAAGTTGAAAGAATCCTTCAGGGATTTGGAGTCAGGGAACCTGGATTTTACTAACCTGTGTGACTGTGGGCAAGTCTTCACTCCCTGCTCTGGGCCTCAGTTTCTTGACCTGTAAAGTAGATCTTCCCTAAAGCCCCTTCCAGTTCTGGGTCCCCTGGGCCAGCCCTGCTAGGACCAGATGCCCAGGATTCCCCCAGGCTCCCAGCCTTTGTGACAGCCACCCCTCCCCTCTTCTCCCCAAGCCCTATCGGCCAAAGATAACCAAGCCCAGACTCACCTCCTCTCAGCAAGCCTTTGTCAAGCCCCTACTGTGTGCTAGCTGGTGAGGATGCTGAGAGTGGGGATGAGGAATGCAGTCAGTCATTGAGCGTTTATTAAGGGACACTGAGGAGGTGGCATTTGCAGGCCCAGCGGGGAAGGGACTGGGGACCGCAGGCCCAGAGGCAGGAAGGTTGAAAAGGAAGCAGCCACGGCCAGACTGACAAGACCAGAGTCCATGTGCAGTGAGGCTTGAAAAGATGGGCTGGGGGCATTAATCAGTCAGCCCACAAGCATTTACTAAGCACCTACTGTGTGCAGGGTGCTGAGCGTACAAAAACAGTAAATGAACCAGGCCCTAATCCTGAGAAGCTGACCTTCCAACCGGGGAGACGGGGACATATTTAAGTATATTCAGAATAAACATGAAGAGAACTAACACAAGTCAGTACAAAATAGTTTAGTGTGGGGGGTGCCTGGCCGTCGGGACGGTTGGGAAGGGCGTCCTGTGGAAGAGCTGCTCCCTGAGGCCGGCAGGTTCGTCCCAGGCCTGGTTGGGCCGGGCGGGTGAGAGAGGGACAAAAGGCCCGCATGGCCGGATCCCAGAGGGGGAGAGGAGGAGCATAGAGCCAAAGGGAGGGGCTGGTGTTTGATTCAGGAGGTGATAAGAAGCCTCGGGAGGAGCCCAGGGCGGGGCCATCGGGGTCCTCCAGGCAGGAAGTTCTCATCCCATCCATACCCCAACTGGTGCAGATTGCAGCCCATTCGTGCCCACCCATCCTGAGCCCCTCTTGTTCACTGAAATGACCCACTGCAGCAGGTGCCCCCGGGGGCCTTCCTCAGCTTCCTTTGATGGCATCACAGGGAGCGCACGGCCTTCTGTCCGGCCAGCCCCTGTCCTTTCTGCATACATGTCCCTTTCTTCACGCCTTCCCAACGGGCTGCAGCTCACATGAGGATGTGATCTCACTCAGCCTTACATGTTCAGCGGGCGCTATCGTCATTTCCCATTTCAGAGGAGGAAAAGGAGTCTCAGGTTAAGTGACTTGCCCAGGGCCACTCAGGGCTTCCCGACACCGCGTGCACATAGGCTGGTCTGGTAAAAAAGCAGACCTCTCCCAGCTCGTGGGAGACTGCTTCCATCGAGGCTCCAGCTGTCCTCTGAGCTCACTTCTTCACACCCTGTGGTTCCTAGTCTTTACGACGGTAGAGGGCAGGTGTCCTCTGGGGCCACCGGCTCCCAGTGAAGGGCCCCACACAGCATAAACATCGCTAAGCAGGTGACTGACCTGAGGGTCTGTTTCTCCCTAGGCCACGGTCTTCCTCAGAGACAAGGAGGCTGCCCAAGATCTACACCAAGACCGGAGACCAAGGTAGCTGGAGAGACCCGGCGGACGGGGAGCACCGGAACCCGGCACAACCCGGCTTTTCTCTCCTTCCATCAATAGCTCTGCTTTTTAACATCTCTGCTGTTTCCAAATAGATTCCCCTGCCCTACCCCCCTGGGCCTTTCCTCGTAACTAAGAACATTTGGATAGTGGACCCTGGCCATCAAGATAGTCAGGGTCCACACCCATCCCCCTGGCCCTCTGCAGAGAGGAGACTGAGGGTCTGGGCACTCTCAGCCGTGAAGGTTTGGGGCCGCCCCCTCCCTCACATTACCATCTGGGTCCCGTCTTCCCATTCACCTGCGGGCCTCACCTTCATCCTTCTTAGCACACGAAAAGACCGCGTTCCATTCACACGCAGACTTTCCACAGCCCTGTGTCTGGGTAATTATTTCTTAATTACAAGGCGTATATTACAAGGCACACCGCGCAGGTGTGTTCACGTCCAAGTCAGGAGATGATGGGTGGCTGCGGCTCAGCATGGAGCTGAGGGTTCCGCCGGTGCTTCCTTGCCGGGTCACTTTAGAAGGGTTCTCTGACCCTGTCTAGCCCACGGTTGGCGCATCCTCAATGACTGAGTCAGAGGACCCCAGGAAAGGTGTCTCCCAACACGGACATTCTCCCTTGGGTTGAGACTCTCAGCCGTGGCTGCTGAAATACCCTGAGCCCCAGAGATTTTTTAAAAAGAGATGGAAATAAATACTCCTCAAAGAGGTTGGACTGTATCCTGCCTAGGAAAAAATGTCAGAGTAAGGAAGAGACCAGTCGGGATGAGGGCCTGGGTGAGAGTGGACGCCCCAGGGTAACATCCCCACCACCGCCCGGCTTCCCAGGCCTGGAGTCTGGGTTCGTCACTTATATCACTGGGGTCAGTGCGAGGGAGATCCGTGACCCCTGCCCATCTGACCTCTGGGGCCCGCAGTGACGGGGCAAGAGCGGCGGGCGAGCTTGAAGGCCCTGATCCCGGCTCGCCGGGTGACCCAGGCCCTCTCTGCTCCGTTACTAATTTGTGTTTATTTTTTCCCGCTGGGCCCCCTTTCTTAGCGGGCTGGTTTTTAGAAATCTCTTTGTGTAACAGTCACGTCTTGTTTTGTTTGTCCAACTTTGCTGTTGTGACAGTTTGGTTTTAACTGTTGTCTGTGTTGTAGGCAAGTTACGGAGGGTTGGCAAAGTGGTCGGGGCAGTAAGACCCGAGTTCAAGCCCGGCCTCAGACACTTCCTAGCTCTGGGACCCTGCGCAAGTCACCTAATATCTCTCTGCTTCAGTTTTCTCATCTGTAAAATGGGAATAATAATACCATTACTTCCCAGGGTGGTTGTAAGCCTCAAGTGAGAATATTTATACAGCGCTTTGTAAACCATGGAGTGCTCTGTGGATGTTAGCTATTATTGTTTATCTAGGTGTCTGTTTTGTTTTGTTCTTACCCCTTAAGATCAGGTGACTGGGATTATGGGCCTAGATCTGTCACTAAAAGGTGTGGTACCTTAGGAATTTCACAAAGGTCCCCCTTTCTGTAGTCTCAGTTTCTTTTTCTGGAAAATGTGGAGATGAAACTAGATTTCCAGGTCCCCTCCCAGCCCTGACATCCCCTATTCTAAATCCCCTCCCAGCTCTGGTATTCTTTGTTCTAAGGAAAGTATCTCTGTGCCCTCAAAAGTACCCTCATATTTAGAATAACTTTGTCAAGTGAGAAGCAGTAACAGACAGAAAGGGTTTATGGGGGAAAGCCCCCAAAGAGAAACCCCCAGGTCCCATCTCTCCCCCGCCACGGCTAACTCAGAGCCAACTCCTGACCTCTGTCCTCCTCTTTTCCCACAGGTTTTTCCAGCACTTTCACTGGGGAAAGAAGACCCAAGGATGACCGAGTGTTTGAAGCCTTGGGAACAACTGATGAATTAAGTTCAGCTCTCGGGTAACTGAGCTGTCTTTGCCTTTGGCACGTCTGTAACAACGACTGTAGTCACCGCGTGCCCCTTCTGGGGGAGGGGATGGGGGAGCTTCTCATCCCGCTTCCTAGATCGCCTCGGAGGCCCAGAATAGCCGAGAGGTCCGCCGAGCCCGCGCCTCTAGGCTAAGGAATGACTTTTTCTGGTTCCCTTTAGGTTTGCCATAGAAGTCGCAACAGAAAAAGGCCACACGTTCGTGGATGAACTTGAGAAAGTGAGTAATACCAACCCCTTCTCCCTCGGTGAATGACTCCGGCAGTGGGCACACGTCTCAGCTGCCTGCAGGTGCAGCTGGCCTCCCTTCCTCCCTGCCTCAGTGAAAAGCACTCTGGGGGGCATTCTCCTGGAAGGGACCGTGAGACCCATTGAGCTGCCCTATATTGTGAGCTATAAGTCAACCTGGCTTTTTTGGTATAGAACATCAGGTTTGGCCTATATTCCCTATATAGGTCAATCCTAGTCTGACTTCCTGCTTTCTCTGAAGCACGGTCCCCAGTCCCCATTGTTGCCGGAGCTGTGATCAGCTAGAGGAAGAAGGCTTTGTTGGCAGTATACCTGGTGTATAGAAACCAGCTTTATTTGGGGTCCCATTGGGGGGCATTTTTTTGTAGTTACCCTTCTAAGGCCAGAGATGATTCTGCAATGCTACACCCAGCTTGGTTTGGGGACAGCTCAAGGACTATCCCCTTGTATCAGGGCCGTGGCTGCTTGATAAATACGATGGGCCTGATCCTGGCAAAGAAGAGCTGTTAGCTCATGGTTTCAAATATATGCCTTTTATCATATGAAGAAAAAAGTCCTTCCTTTTCTTTATTTTTTAGTGTTTTGCATATCACTAAGTGCTATATTTTATCAAAGGCTTTCTCTTCTAATGGCATAATTATGTAATCTTTACTTTTTTCTCTTGTGTTGAAAAGATTTACTATGTTGATTGTTATCCTGATCTTAGCCATCCTTGCATTCCAGTTATAAATCATACTTGGTCATAATCAATATCATTTTTGTAGTGTTGCTCTCTTCTGTTCCTGAGTATTATTAGCTGTGTAATCCTAGGCAAGTCACTTAAGCTCTCCACAGCTCAGTGTTTTAGGACTCAGTCAAGTGAGAGATTTGACCTTGATGACCTCTAAAGCCCCTTTCATCCCTAAATCTATTATCCTATTTAAAATTATGTGTCAGTATGCATTAATGATCTTGGCCTACAGTTTTCTTTCTCAGCCTTATCTTTTCCTGGTTTAGGGATCAAAACCATATACCATCTTTCTCTCTTTGTAGAATCTGTCTATATAGCATAGAAATTCCTTTTTCTTTAAAAGTTGGGTCAGATTTGCTTATGAATCTATGTAGACTTGGTCCTTTCATGCAGATATTTCTGGTCTATTTAGATCAGATTCTCTGCCTGTTACTTTTGATATTATGTACTTTTGTAAATAAACAGTCATTTCTTTTAGATTGTTAGCATAGATTTGGGTATGGTCATCTAATTTTTTATAATATTTTGCCTTCACTTTGTCATTTCTAATTTGGACTTATTCCCCTCTTTGCTTATTAGTTTTGTTGATCTCTTAAAAAACAGCTCTAGAGTTTTTTTTTATCATTTCCATTTTTAATTTTCACTCATTAGTCTTTACTGTTGTCTTGGTTACAAGTGCAGACTGAACTCAGTAAGCTCCTTGCTCCCTTTCTTACTGATTTAGACATTTAACACTAAATCTGCCCTGATGATACTTCGGCTTAAGCATGCCATTGGGAGTCCCTGCTGAGGAGACGGCATCGCAGTCTCCAAGCACTTTGATAGCTGTAACATGGAAGAGGGATTAGACTTCTTTTGCTTAGTCTTAGGTGGCAGGATGAGGAGAGCAGTGGAGAAGCTGTAGAAAGGCAGATTCCATCTTTCTGGGAGGAAAAACTTCCCATCCCACCTATCCCAGAGTGGAATGTGGATTCCCTGTCAATGGAATTCTCCAGCCAGAAGCCGGATGTCTGCTAGGTGGAAGTATCCTAGCAGAGATTTCTGGTACAAGTCAGCCTACGTGGCCACTGGGTTCCCTTCCGTCTCTGAGACTGTTGATAAGGGCAGCCCCTCCCTGGTAGGAGGCCTGGCCAGTGTTCCTGAGCAGATTGGAGATGGGGGCACCAGTAAACACGGGGCCAAGGGAAGGACAGAACATCTGTTTACACTTTTATTTGAGGCTCATGAGCTCAAGCTAATGGCGTAAAGGTGCCCTGAGACGCTGTGTGATGGAGGTGATCAGAGCTGGAAGGGACACTGGCATTATCTCATCTAAAGCGCATTTTACAGAGGCAAAAACTGAGGGTTGGCAGGGTAGGACGGGAGCGATTTATCCCAAGTCACAACAGCCAAAAGTGACCAAACCGGACCAGGGAGTTAGAAAAAGCCAGCTCTTCCACCTTCAAACCTAGGGATTTTTTCCTATTATTCTCTCATATCCAAAAGCTATTTATAAAAGAAGAAGAAGTACCTACTATGTGCCAGGCATTGTGCTAGGGGATTTATAATTATAATCACATTCAATCTTCACAACAACCCTGGGAGGTAGGTGCTGTTATTATCCCCATTTTACGGTAGAGAAACTGAGGCAGACAGAGGTGAAATCACTTGCCCAGAGTCACACAGGTAGTAAGTGTGAATTTGAACTCAAGTCTTCCTGATTCCTAGCCCAGGGCTCTATCCACTGCACTGCCAACTGCCTCAAAACTTGAAATCAGGCTCCAATTTCACAGGTTTCCTTCCTGTGGTGGCCAGTTGGTGATTGTGGTAGAGATTTAAATCTGGAATTCTAAGACCAATGTGTCTCTTTTGCTTACTTAATACAGCAGTCACACTTAGTATTCCCTTAGTGGTATTCCTCCTCCTCCTCCCCCTTCCCCCCTCCCCCCCTTCCTGCGGCCTCAGGAACAGCCCAGCAAACGCCTTCCTGCAAGGAGGGCAAGGCTTCCAGGAGGGCCTTCACAGGGAGGGTTCCAGAGGAGTTTGTTAATTAGAATTTAATGTCCACTAATTAAAGGTTCTGACTGGCCCCAACAAACTGCCCCTCGGTGCTTTGTGGGAGTGTTACGTGGCACCTCCACTCCCCCTTCTCCAGCCGTCACAAGTGGATCTGCATCCTCACCTTCTGCTGCTCTCCCCAGGTCCAGTGCAGGCTACAGGACGCCGGCTCAGCCATTGCAACGCCGCTGTCGTCGGCCAGGGAGGCTCACTTGAGTAATTCTCTCCTTATCTGACCCTTACAGAGGTAGCAGCTCCCTTTGAGCATCCTGAGCATGCCCTCCCTCGGCCTGGGCCCGCTGTTGTCTCTGGATGGGCCAGGAACCCAACTGTGGGATGGCGGGGAAGCCCCCAGAGGGAGGGGAGAAGCTGTGTCCGTTCTGGGGAAGGGCGAGGGCGTTCTGCCCGAGGCTCTGCAGTGAGCATCGGCCTCGTGAGGGTTTCCTTGGGCTTCCTCTGTCCCTCTGCAGAGCGCACAGCGTTCAGTGAGGATGCTGTCCAGGACCTGGAGCGCTGGATAGACGCATACACGAGCCAGCTCCCTGCCCTCACGGCTTTCATTCTGCCTGTAGGTATTGGGGTTACCGAATCACTTGGGCTTTGGCCAAACCCGTGTGTGTGTGTCTGTGTGTCTGTGTGTGTCTGTGTGTGTACATGTGTGCCGAAAAAAGCAGGGGCTCCTGTCATCCCATCTTGGTGGCCTTTGGACATGGGGAGGAGCTATGGTTCTTCCTAGGCCTTCTCTCCACTAAATATGGCACCGCAGCCTATCAGAGCCAATGTCTTGTTTCTGTTTCAGTCGGGAGGCAAGAGCAGCACGGTGCTCCACTTATGCCGAGCTGTGTGCCGCAGAGCTGAGAGATGGTGAGAGACCGAGGGACAGGAGGGAGGGACGGCCCGAGTGCCGGTGTGTCTTCCTCATCTTTGTGTCTGCCCCCAGCAGCCAGCCCAGGCTTTAATCATGAGTGGATGAATGAGTGATTGAATGAGCAAGTGAGTGAATGAGTGATTGAATGAATGAGCAAATGAATGATTAAATGAATGAGAGTGAATGACTGAGTGAATGAACGAGTGAGGGATTGAATACATGAGTAAATAAGTGAGCAAATGAAGGAGTAGATGAATGAATAAATGAGTTATTGAATGAATGGGTGAATGAATGAATGAATGAATGAACAAGTGAATGACTAGGTGAGTGAATGACTGAATGAAGCAGTGAGTGAATGAAGGAGTGAATGAGTAGCAGCCTGGCAGAGAGAAAAGGACATTGGAAGTCAGGAGATCTGGATTCTAGTCCTGAGATTTCCACTTGGTCCCTGTGACCTTGAGCATGTCACATCCTTTGGGCCTCAGTTTCATCCTTTCTAGTAGGAGAAGAATCAGAAAACCCAGGTTCTTGACCCAGGTGTGCTGCTACTTAATCGCTGTGCTTTTAGGCCAGTCACTCGCCCTGTCTGGGCCTCAGTTTCCTCATCTGTACAATGGAGAATTTGGCCTTCTGTGAATCTGAGCCAGAGGCTCATGGCCAGGGCCCCAAGATGCCTCTGTGCCCATGCTCGCGGCCGGAGCCGTAGGAGGAAGGCGCATATGTGACAGAACACCTTCATTCAGCCAACATTTGTGAGCCCATGAATGAGCTATTGCGGGTACCCCCTAGGCCCCCCAAAGTCTAGAGGAGAGGGGAGAACTAAAGCAAAACGTCACTTTTCCAAGGACATCACCTTAAACGTTTGAAGAGTAATAAATCCACGTGAAGACGCCTGGCTTAGCAGCGCCGTCCATGTACCCCTGCACGGGGAGGGCAATGAAGCCCCGATGTGAGGAGGGACCAGGAAATAAAGTCTGCCCTCCTGTATACTGAGGCGTCTCCTATGGCCATAAGTGCTTGGGGATCTCCTCAAAGAGGCCTGTCCCTGCAAACAAAAGCCAGCCCAGGCCAGCCTTCCATGGGCATGCAGGCCAGTGATGGGCCTGCTGTCGGGGCAGAGTGCAGGGGAGGCGGGCCTGAGGGCAGGAGACCCTGTTTGTTTCTCAGTCTAGCTCTGCCACTAACCACAACAGTAATAACAATAGTTAACATTACACTAACAAAAAATAGATCACATTTACATAGCGCTTTAAGGTTTGCAAAGACTTTACCAATATCATCTCATTTGATCCTTACAGTGAGCCTGGGAAGCAGGTACTATTAGCACTTCTTTTTGCTGATGAGGAAACTGAGGCAGACAGCAGTTAAAGTGACTTTCCCAGGATCACACAGCCAGTTGGTGTCTGAGGCATGGTTCAATTTCAGGTCTTCCTGACTCCCAAGTCCAGCACTCTTGTCTGCTGCACAGTGACCTTAGATGAGTCATAAGCCCTCTTTGGCACTCCCATTTTCTCATCTGTAAAATAGGAGGGTTGGCCCAGCTGGTCCTTAAGCCCCCTCCTCTCCCTCTGTAACATTCTGTGACAATGAGCGAGAGTTGCCCTGGTCAGGCCAGGCCAGCTGGCTCTCTGCAGTCCATCAACAGTCTCCCCAAATGACCAGGACATGAAGGCATGAAGGAGGGTGGGGGGAGAAGGATGTGTGAGTGTGTTCAAGAAAGTGGGGCTGTGGCCAAGACCTGGAGAATGCTCCACGGCTTGGGTGGGGAGGGTGGTAAAGGGGTCGCACCTCATCTGGGCCCTCCTCCGAGCTCCCTTCCTGGGTGATTGTCTAAACACCCTTGCTGTGTGTTTTCATGATCTCGTGTGCGTGCCCACTGTGTTCATTCATAGCATCGTGAGTCAGATGGGGTCAAAGACTGGCCCTCGATGGAGCTGAGGGTGGCCCAGAAGACAGCCCCGAGCAGGGAAGTGAGAGGAGTGGCGCTGGAGGTCACTGCTCCCAGGCCACGGAGACCAGTATTCTCTGCTTGTTTTCCTCCCCCTTCTAGTGTGGTTCCGCTAGTCCAGGCTGGGCAGACAGATGCAAACGTGGCCAAATTCTTGAACAGGTAATAAAACCAATGGAAAGAATCCCATTCCCCAAATGGCTCTCCCTTTGAAGCCAAGCTCAGCATTTTATCTTCACAACGTCTGGAAATGAGGGCCCTGATCGCTCCAACCCTCCAGCCTTGAGGAGGACAGATCTGGATGCACTGGGTATCACAGCCGTTTGGCTAGTCAGAGGGCACAGACATGGGCAAGGTCGTGTTGCCTCTGCCCTCTGGCGCCATTGACGGCAGCGGCCGGGTCTTATTCAGTCTTATTCAGCAGTCACAAAGCACCTACTATGGGAGACAGTTTCTGCCTTCAGGAAGCTTCCACTCCAACAAGGACACACAGAACATCTACTGAACATGTGCAAAATGAATCCACGGTGGTTTTGTGAGGGAAGGCACACAGGGTCCTGCACGCAGTAGGTTCTTTCTCAGTGTTTCATGAATAAAAGAAAACCGGAGATGCTGATGTTGGACTGTGACAAGCTGTCGTCTTGAGGTTGTTCTAGGGTTGTGAAGCCCTATCCCATCCGTGATCCCACCTGGTCCTCACAGCAGTCTGAGAGTAGAGGGCAGGGAGTGGTATTCCCATTTTGTGGGTGAGGCCCAGAGAGGGAGCTGATTTGTCCAGGGTCAAAGCAGTGATAGGTTGAGCCCGGCCAAGGCCCCAGGCTACTGACCCTCAGTCTCTGCTCAGCTCAGCTTCCCAAGGAGTCTGTCCCCTTGCCAAGGTAATGAGTCATCTCTGTTGGCAGGTGGTCCGTTAGGAGTAATGGGCATCGGTTGCAGGGGCAGGCTCCCTGGGAGCAATTAGCAGCCCCTCCTGGAAGGCCCTCTGGCAGAGGCTGGACGGCCACTTGTCTGGGACGTTGGCAGGAGGCGATTCTTGTTCAGGGTTGGACTGGACAAGGCAGCCGCCGAGGGTCTTCAGCCTCTTGGCCGTGGCGGTGCCCAGAGCTGGCCTGTCCGTTAGACTCCTGGCCCTGCTCCATGTGTCAGGGCCTTCCTGCCGGGCAGTTGGGATGATGCTGTTGGCCAGGAAGCCTGTTGGGCCAGAAGCCCTGGCACCGTCCTCGGCCTCAGGCTCCGACGATAATTCACCACATGCCCAATTCATCAAACTGCAGTTGGCCAAGGACCCACCACCACCGTTAAGTTCTGTTAGGGACCAATTGGCCATTTAAACGTCTGCTTTTAACATTAATTTGGGAATCAGTGTTTCTCCTTTGGAGATGTTCTCTTTGACTCTCTTTCTCTTTCCCCCTCCAGACTCAGTGACTATCTCTTCACTTTGGCCCGATATGCAGCCATGAAAGAGGGGAAGGAAGAAAAAATATACCGAAGACAGGACCCCTAAGGCCAAGGCATGCTGGGAAAATCCTGTAAAGAGAGAGGCCAGTGCCTTTCTGCCCCCATCCCAGCCGGGTAGGGGCAGGCGTTAGCATGTGGAGCATCCAGACCTGGTACTGTCCTGATGAAAAGCCTGAACTCCCCCACCCCAGCTTACATCCCATCCCCCCATGGCTTCATCCCGGCCCCTCGTCGACTCTGTGAGCAGCCAGTGTTCCCAGGGACTGGGAGGCCCAGTTCAGGGTCTCTGAAAACAAGATGGTCGGACACTTGTAGGCCAGATGCCAAAGGTGACCAGAGGATAAAAGGAATGCCTGAGTCCAGCGTGTGTGTGTGTGTTCACATGTGAAGTTCCAGAAGCCCTCCCGTGGCCAGCCTTCCCCCTTCAGGATTCAGCAGGGCACTTGAGCACATCCACAATGTAAATGTGATTTACCTGTGCCGGAGGGGCCTTAAATGTCACATTTATAAAGGAAAAGCCGGCAGGATTTGGTATTGTAGTCACCCCCGAACCATCCGTCAACCACGAAGCGTGAGGAGAGGCCTGAGCAGATTTACAGGCTAGGGCTGCCAACAAATACTGGTCCCCTTTGGTCCACGTGTCGGGGTGGAGGAGGGAGGGGGCAGCTCACGGTTCTGCCCGGGCCCCACGGATGCCCCAGCAGGCGCTGCCGAGACTGCTCGAGCCTGGGCAGCAGGCCCACAAATGAATGGGCGACCCCTCGTCCCACCTGCATCAGGCCTTTTGAGGCAGGACCTTCAGAAAATGCGCTAGCTAATGCCTCAGGTCAGCTCCCACAATTGTTATGTATTTAAATTGCAGTCAGGCCTACCCTCTCCCAAAAAGCACTGGATGATGGTGGGTCCCCACAGCTTGCAATTCTCCTCGTTTGCTGCCTTCCTGACCCAGTGTGGGGAAGAAATGAGTGGTCAGGCTATGGCCAGAGGCCTGAGCATGCTTCCATCTGAAATCAGAAATCAGTGGGTTTCCAGAGTTACTGACAGCAGTTCACAGCTTTGCCCAAGGGAGATTAGGAGGAAATGAGCCCATCAACTGTTAACAAGGGAGAAAACAAGCATTGTGGTACAGGCCCAGGAAGAGGAGGCGTGGGAGTCGAGACCTGGATTCAGATCCCGCCTCTGACACCTACTGACTGTGTGTTCCTAGGTGAGTCTGACTTCTCAGCCTCAGTTTCCTCCTATGTAAAACAGAGGTGAGGACAGCGCCTCCACTACTGACCTTACTGGGTTGGGGGGAGGACCACGATCACATGGGTCAAGCCCTTTGTGAGCCTTGAAGCCACTCTCCTTGTCAGATAGGAATATTATGTGCTGAGGCAGAGGAGAAAATGCACCTGATCTCAGAGGACCCGAGTTCAAATCCCAGCTCATTTGCCATCTGTGTGACCTCTCGGGGTCTCAGTTTTCTCCTTTGTTGTAACAGCAGCAGGGGACACATCAGAGCAGTTTGCCAGGCACTCAACCAACATAATCTCATGGGACCCTCACAGCAGCCCCAGGACGAGGTCGTCCTGTCCATTACCAACCAACCCAAAACCTACAGTGGCTCCACATTGACCTTCAGATAACATTCAGACTTGTCCCCTGGCTTTTGAAGCCCTCCTCCCCCACCTTTCCAGTCTTCCAGTCATTATTGCCCACCACTCCCTCATCCATGCTAGTCACATTGGCCTGCCAGCTGTTCCCCACACATACCATTCCAGTGCCTGCCTCAGGACCTTTGCCCAGGCTGTGTCCCATGCCTGGAATGCTCTCCCTCATTATATCCTCCTCCTGGAATCCCGTGCTTTCTCCCCATCATAGCTCTGGTGCCACCACCTATGTGGTGAAACCTTCCTAGATCCCATGCTACTCCCTCCTCCCCCTGCTCAGTTTTCTCTCTCTTGAAATTATCTTGTGTTACTTTGTATTTACTTATTTATCTGTGTACATGTTGTGTCCCTCTGGTAGAATGTAAGCTCCATGAAGGCAACAATTATTTGGTTATTGCCTTTGAATCTCCAGCCCCCAGCAAGGTGTCTCGTGCATTGAATTAGACACTTAGAAGCTTGATGAATTAAATGCCACAAGTATTGTGGTTCCCATTTTATAGACTAGGAAATGGAGGCTCAGTTAAGTGATTTGCCCAAGGTCCCACACCTAGTTAGTGTCTGAGGTGGGATTCAAATTCACTGCTGTCCTAGCGCACACATGAGGCAGGGGACGCATCATTTTAAAGGTCCTTTCCAGCTCTAATTCTTACGATCAGGCACAGCTTCCTCAATGACATTCTCTGAAACTGAAGACAATTTCCATATCTCATTCCAACCACTTTTTCTGGGGAAGATTCCAGGAAGGATCCTAGCCCTAGTTGGGAGACGGAGGCATCTGAGAATTGGCTTTTTCAACAACCAACATTCCCCTGGGAAATTTCTCCAGGCTCAGGAGCTAGAGAAACATCCCCTTCTTGCTCCACTCACTCAACAATAACCAACAGGCCAGCTTGGGGGTGGGGGGAGGGTCTCTGTGTTTAGCACAGGGGAGAGAGGAACCAGGTCCAGAACCCAAAGTTCTGTGCCTTCCACTATGTCACTGGCTTCCTGATGGAAGTTTTAATTAAGCTTTAGCATGCCTCTCGAGTTCACACACACACACACACACACACACACACACACACACACACACACGCACACCAGTCACTAATACATGCTGCTATCTTGTTATTCAACCTCTTCTTTAACTGATATTTCATGGCTATTGTTAACGTCCATTTTTCACAGAGTAATTTTCGAAGGCTGAGCTTGTAACACATCCCGATGACAAACGTTCCCAGTCCAGGATCCCCCGTCAGCTGCAATGTCACCCCGAGCTGTTCCTCACTACTTTCCTCAGACAGCCCACCCCATTTTATGATAGCTCTGTCTCAGTTATCACAATTGAACCTTTAAGAATTCGGCGGCTTTTCAAATTTAATTGAATACAATTCTTTGTATAATAAATTCTGCATGAATGCTACATAAATCAGCCCTAGGAAAGATTCATGGCTGTCTTCCTCCCCAACCCAGGGCCCAGAAATCTCTCACTGGCACTACTGGACCGAAGCCGGTACTTTTTGATTGTCACAAGAAATCAATTTCACCTTTCCGGCTCAGCTTGAGGGGCACGTCTGATTTATAGCCACCAACTCATCAGATTTCCCCATGTTTTCATCTCCAGGAGTCCCTGGAGGATGAAGGATTTAGGTCCAAATAGAGAAAAAAGAGGATCTTGGAAGTCCAACCTTCTCCAGTTGGAGTCCAAAGCCTCTATCTCTAAGAACCAACATGGCTACTTCTGTTCAAGTTGGGGAACGAGGTCAAGATTCAGAAACTCCCCCTACTGGGTGTCGGTGACCGCCTGACGTGTAGGGGAAGGCACAGTGGCTGCTCCCTGCTGTTTAGGAGAGACAGCCCTGCACCGTGGGAATGAGTAATGTGTTCTTATTCTAGCCCAGCATCTTTTTTACATTCCCATCTATTATTTCACTCGATCATCCATCAACATAAATTATTTTTGCTTCCAGTCCCTGTTGAATAGCACACCTAACCCCACAGACAGACACTCAGTTTGTCTTGCAAACTTTTTCAACGTGGACCTCTCATGTAGTCCTGTAGGTAGAAAGCCCAGAATCAACATGGGGATATTGGGAGTTACTGTATTGGTGAGGACGAGTCCATGAGGCACAGGCAGCTTCCAGTGAGGAGAGGTCTAGAAATCACTGGCAAGGTCATTTGAGAGACTGTGTGATCAGCATGCATTACTTGGCATATAGTAAATGCTTAATAAATTATTTTTTCCATTCATTCATCCATCCATCCCATCCATCTACCCATCCAAGCGTCCATTCATAGAAAGCTCTGGATTTGGAACCAGGACCCTTTTTGAAGCTTGGCTCCCGCTTCCCACCAGTGTGACTTCTGGCAAGCTTTTTCACCAGAGCGGCTTAGAGCAGGGAGGGACCTTAGAGATCACCTCATCTAAGCCTTTCCTCCAACAAAGGCCTGGAATGCCCCTTTTCCTTACCTCCAGCTCTTGGAATATCTGGTTTCCTTCTAAATTAATCTCAAGTGCTACTTCTTACTTAGTAATAGCTGGCATATGTATATGTGAATCCTTGTATGTGTACATCTATACTATATGTGTGTATATATGTAAATTATATTTATACATTTATATAATAGCAGGCACTTTAAGGTTTGCAAAGCACTTAAAAATATTGTCTCGATCCTCACAACAACCCTCTTACACCCATTTGACAGATGAGAAAACTGGTTAAATGACTTGCCCAGGGTCACCTAGCTAGTAAGTGTCTGAGGTCATATTTGAACTCAGGTCTCCCTGACTGCAGATCCTGAGCTCAATCCACTGTGCCACCCAGCTGCTTCTGTGAAGCCTTCTCTGATTCCACCATTTACTAGTATTCTCTCTTCCGAAATTATCTTGTATTCATTTTGTATGCGCGTGCTCTCTCTCTCTCTCTTACCCCCCACATATACATATATACATATACATATATATACATACATGTATATACATATACATATATATATATATACATACATACACAACACATAAAGTTTTCTATATTTGTTGTAGGCATATGGATCATAGCTTTCCTGGAGGGCAGAGACAATTTCACTTTTGTCTTTGTAGTTTAGCACAATTCCTGGTACCTAGTGGGTGCTTAATAAATGCTTGTTGATAGATTTATTAAGTATCCACTGTGTGCCAGGCACTGTGTTAGGTGCTGGGGATACATAGATAAAAATGAAACAGTTCCTACCCTCAGGGAGCATACGTTCCTTGAAGACAGACAACGTGCATTCAAACGTGTGTGTGAAAGAAATACAAGAAGAATTTTGGGGCTGGGGGAGGTGGGGAATCAGCAAAGAAGGTGGCACCTGGGCTCAGCATTGATGGAAGCCCAGATGTGGAACTGAGGAGGGTGTGCCTTCCAGGTGTGGGGGAGCCCTGAAGAGAGGAGATGGAACAGCAAGGTCGGTTTGACTGCACAGGAGTTAGTGTTACAGACAGCTTCCTTGGCTAGGAAGAAGCAATGACCCTTAGACAAATTTAGAAATCTGCCCAGATATCTGAAGTCATTTTGGCCCGGATTCAATGTAGCCACTTGTGGGGGGAGGAGGAGGCAGGGAGCACAGCGTCTGGGCAAGAACACAGACATGGCCCGTTGGGAATCCAGCAGAGATCTGGCACGTAGCACTGTGTGGCACATAGTAGGTGCTTAATACATGTTTACTGATTGAGATCCAATTGAGCCGC